TGTTAGAAATCACTTTCTTTTTTTTCTTCTTAAACTTCTATGTTGGAAGATCATCTATGCTTCATTAGGAATTCAACCTTAGGTACCATACTTAAAAAATAATCATTCTGGTCATGGTGGTGCACACCTTTAATTCCAGCACTCAGGAAGCAGAGGCAGGAGTATCTTTGTGAGCGCTGGGCCAGCCTTGTGTACATAGAGAGTTCCAGACCAGCCAGGGCTACACAGTGAGACCTTGTCTCAAAAAAAAAACAGCAAACAGCTGGACGGTGGTGGTGCAATCTTTAGTCCCAGCACTTGGGAGACAGAGGCTGGAAAATCTCTTGAGTTCGAGACCAGCCTGGTCTACAGACAACCAGGGCTACACAGAGAAACCTTGTCTCAAAAAAAACAAAACAAAACACCCTCCCCCAAAAAAGAAGAAAGAAACAAAGGAAACCAACCAACTAACCAATGAAACAAAAATGTATAAAGAACTTAGGCATGTGACATCCTAATGCTTATTGGGCTTGGCATTCAGTCTGTGCTAGCAACTTAAACATCTGGTGGAACTCCATTATATTTCACCAAGGTTTTTGTGTATAGATTTTTTTCATTACTATCTGTCTTCACCACTTTCTTCTCCTTGGGTTTCTCTCTCTCTCTCTCTCTCTCTCCCCCCCCCCTTCCCCTTCCCCTCCCTTTCTCCCTCCCTCCCTCCCTCTCTCTCTCTCTCACACACACACATACCTACTAAGATTTATTTTATTGTTATTATTTAAAAATTTGTGTGTGTGTGTGTGAGCACGTGCGTGCTTGCACACATGAGTGTGTGTGTGCACCAAATGCAATCCAGGTGCCCGAGGAGGCTGGAAGAAGGCTTCAGTACCCTTAAACTGGAGTTACAAATGGTGGTGAGCTGCCATGTGGGTGCTGGGAACTGAACTTGGGTCCTCTGCCAGAGCAGCCAATGCATTTAACTGCATCTCTCCAGAAGCCCCCCTACACACACCTCCACCCCCTGGGTTTGTGACCTTTAGTGGTGTTGGAATCACCTCAAAGGTCCCTTGCCTAAGATTTGTACTCAGATCCAGGGCAAGGCTCAGGAACTTGCCTGTCTTCCTTTTTTTCCTTATCTCCACCCCCCCACCTTTTTTTTTTTTTTGCTTTTTTCAAGACAGTTTCATTGTGTAGCCCTGGCTGTCCTAGAACTCAGTTTGTAGACCAGGCTGGCCTCGAACTCACAGAACCACCTGCCTCTGCCTCCCAAGTGCTGGAATTAAAGGCTTGGGTCACCATTGCCTGGCATCTCCCGCCCATTTGAAGAACGTCCATTTCTAGTAAGTTCTTGGGCACTACTGGTGATACAGGGACTACACTTGGAGAAGCACTGCCCTGTGCTGTCAAGCCCTGTGCCTTCTACCCTGGACTATTTCTTTTGCTTGTTTTTGTTGTTGGAGACAGGTTCTCACTGTCTCATTGTCTAGCTTTCACTGATCTGGACTCACTTTGTAGTCCAGGCTGGCCTTGAATTTTCGTAATCCTGCCCCAGCTTCCCCAGTGGGGGGATTACATGCATGAGCTACCATACTTAGTTGCCCTGGAATATTTGTTTATGGAAGCTCTATATAGCGACTTCTTTACGTTTAGTATCTTTTATTTATTTTATTGTTTTTTGGGTCAGTTTTGCTCTGCTGCCCAGGCTGGCCTGGGCTTCATTACAGTCTGACTGTCTCTGCTCCAAGTGCCAGATCACAAGTGTGCATCACCAGGTCCAGCCTGGGTGCATTTTCTCAGTACATAATTTTGTTCATGCTCATAGTCAAAATGGAACCATTATCTGAAGAAAACATTTGCCTTGTGGAACCTAGCTGTGCCCCTGTGGGCCTATATCTAGAGGGCTTGCCACCTTCGGAGTTGAGTGAGCTTAGTAACCTGTCTATTGTCCATTGAGGACTCTAAGGACAGAAATTATAAGTGGACAGTCTGGCATGTTGGAGCTCTCTTGTCCTGACTTCTGTGACCTTGAGAGATTCTACAGCTGCGAAGACTGTAAATCACACCTATACCATCGGCTCTTTTACCCTTTCTTCCTTTTGTGCCAGAGAATTATATCAAATGTCTAATTTGTTTGGGTGCATTAGTGCTGAGAACATCTTGGTTCAGTTGATGGGACATTCTCTTAAGTCACCTGTGAGTTCCTGGGCTAGGACCGAATACTTACAGCAGTGTAACATTTCTGCTTTGTCTCAACTATACTTGATGATGCAGCAATCTCTTTGTGCATGAGTCTGTCTCAATTGCCTTTAGGTTTTTATAGATAAAACCTTGAGCAGAGAAGACAGGATATAGTTAAGAGACACTTAGCCAAATGATACTGGGAGTTGCGTTTGTATATTGTAGGCCAGTATGTACAAAACTCTCTGAGGTGGCTTGACATGCAGTTATCTATCCTATCTGAGCCACTGTCCTGACAGAGGTAATGAAAAGACGTATGCAGGTCCTGCTAATGACAGCTGTTGCTCTGGAGTTCCTGTGTAATCTCAGATACATAAACAATCTGGCAATATCTAATGACTGAAATTAGTTAATATAAATTGTGAAAATCAACCACCACAGTTCTTTCTGTTTACACCATGGTGACACACAAAGCCCTTGTCTTCCTCAAGCCTGCCTTTTATTTTTACTCAAAAGACTGCTTATAGAAATGAAGTTACGGAGGAGGGGTGGATTGAGAGGGGTCAGGGGGAAGTAGGAGGAGAAGAGGTAGGGGAGGCTGTGGTTGGGATGTAAAATAAATTAATTACTAAAAGAATAACAAGGAAAAAAAAGAAATAAAGCTACAATGAGCATGACTTTTGGATGTCAAGGAAGGAAAACTAGATCTGGGGCATTTGGTTTTTTCCTCATGTCTTTTGAAGAATCGGGGAGCTGATGCTGCTCTTGTGTTCTGATGAGTGTTTCCACTTGCACCCCCTCACTTCCATGGAGGGCCATGCTTTACCTCTCACTTTACTGACATGAGCTCCCCTCCCCTGGGCAAGATTTCAATATAAATGAATAAGTGAGCACTTAAAAACAGAATACTAGTAGATAGACTTTAGTGTACCACAGAAACTGATGCCAGTCCATTTCCATTACTTTATTGTTAAGCATAGGATAAAGTAATGCGGCCTTAATGTTGAGATAAAGCCCACTTGGATTGCTGTGATAGTGTTCTGTCTAGGAAAGTGGCCTTAGCTGGGCAGGCCACAGGATCTCACTTTAGTGTATCCTAATTTTATCCTCACCTTAAGCACTTCTTTTCAGGTAGAAGATGCAAGTGGGATTACTGTATAAGAGGAAGTCAATGTGACTCGATGGTTAACAGGTGGTTTTAGGATTCTGAAGATGAGAGGCTCCTGCACCAACCCAGCTCTGTTACTTGGTGGAGTAGAAGCAGCTAAGTAGCATTTCTTGTTTGCAAGGTCTGGCCAGACCTTTTATGGGGCCAGTGGCCAGCAGTACTGCCCACAGACTTGCAGTGGCTGCTGAGACAGTTGGCATGGCTCCCTGAGTGTGTGCCACGTGGTGCTGTATCACCCTGTCACTAGGGCAGAGACTGTATTGGAGAGGTGTTCAGTCCTGTTGTTTGACTTTGACCCAGAGCTTGTCCTCTACCCCATGTAAGTAGATGTCTGCAGTGGGGAGCCAGGATTGGCAGTCAGGGCCTTTAGTGGTATCCGAGGGAACAGACTGAATGTTTGCCTTTTGTGTACTGGGTACCAAGATAGTCCTGGCTGTCTCAAATCAGATAATCCCTAAACATGGAGTTAAGGACCCATAAATTTTGAAAAATGTATTTATTATATATTTATTTACTTTGTATGTGTGTGTGTGCGCGCACACTGTTTATGTGTGGAGGTCACAGGACAATTGGAAGAAGTTGGCTTTCTTCTGTCATCCATGTGGGTCTCTGGGGATCAAACTCAGGTTGTCAGGTTTGGCAGAAAGTGCCTGTACCCTTTGAGCCTTCTCACTGTTTCTGAAGGGCTCATGTTTTAAAAGCAGACTGGAACACACACACACACACACACACACACACACACACACACACACGCACACACACGCACACACACACACACGCATTTGACACAGATAATGAACAGCGTGGACAGAAGTAGGGTAGAAGGGAAGGGAATTAGAGAAGCTGCTGTTGAAATACTTCATTCTTGTCAGGTAGGATTAGACTTAGCCTAGGCTGCTTGAAGGCAAAATCAGGCTTTGTGCATTCACCAGCCCCTGTGGCAGCTGCTGGGGGTCAACTACAGAGTTGGCTGCAGCTGTTCCCCAGTGTGCCCCGCAGTTCCTCATACTTACTTAATGGGGTTTTAGTGACCAGTACAGTCAGGAGCCTGGCCTGATGGGGCATGGCAGTGGAAGGGAAGAGAAGTCCTAGCAAGGATGAAACATTAGCTGAGGAGAGGGCAGAGGTTTTTAGTTATGTGGCTGGATGTGCCTGGTGGTCAGGTGGTCTGATGCCTTCTTGACTGAGGAGTTTAAATTCTCTGAAGGCAGCATAGCAGGGCTGGGAGGGAGTGTGGCCTATGAGAAGATGATGATTCAGGCCCACTAAATTTTTTGTTCCTTTCACTGACCACTACTACAGCCACTTTTCTGAGGTCCTTACTGGAGCTCTATGTGAGTGTTGAGGTTGAGGACATTCTCACTTTATCCAGACGCTAACTCAAGGCAAGACATTAGTGACTTGGTGAACAGCCCAAGGTTACAGAGCCAGTAAGTGGAGGAGCTGATGTTTCAATTGGGAACCTATTCTAGAGCCACCCTGCCCTCTTGCTGATAGTGCAGAGGAGGGGAGGCTGTGGTTCTGGAGCTCACTGGTGGGAAACAGGTGACCACCTGCCAAGGATGGTGGGCTAGAGTTGTACTAGGCTGATCTAAACTCCCTTCTGGTCAGGTCTCAGGTTTTCCTTCATTTTAGGATTATTATAAATGCATATGTATGTATGTTTTTTCTCTAGTGACGATGAAAGACACCAGGCTGACAGCACTGGAAACTGATGTACCAACTGTCCCCAGAGCAGGTAAGGTACATATTTAGTCTAGTGGCTGGGGAGGATAGGAGGAAATTCTCACCTTGCCCATGGGTGCCCCAGCATGCAGAGGCTTCTTTGTTCAGGGGTTTAAGTGTTTATGATCTTAGCTCCCTGCCAAGCCCAAGAGCATCTATGGCTTTTTAGGTAGTCAGCTGCATCACCAGTGACCTCTTAATTGCTGTTTGATGCCAGGCACTGAGTGTGTTACACAAACAGCTTGTTTTTTTTTTTACAACACTTGGTGTATTTCCATTCTGCAGGAGAATTGGCCTCCATGAAAGTCAGTTCTGTGAGTAGCAAATTCTAGTTTTAGCCACTAATTAAATTGAAACCTAAAGCAAGTCATTTAGGCATCATTTAGCAGAGGTTTTTAACCCTGGCTTGGCCTCAGGAATCCCCTTTGGATTCTGTAAACAAACTCAATGACATGTCTAGGCCTCAGCCTGCTGTGCAGTAGGGCCTGGGCCTTGGCATTTGTATACTCTGACATGCAATGTGGACTGAGACCTCCTGAGTTAGCACTTTAACTCTTGATGTATTTGTTTCTGTTGTGGTCTTAAGTCAGCTTTTTTGGATAAATCATTTCCTTTGGTGGTTTTCAGGAATTGATGGAGTCTCCAAGTCCCAGAATCTACCCATTATAGTTCCTGAGGCTCTGACACTTGTTCAGATCTGAGTTTAGTCTTAGTGATGTAACTGACTGTTAAGCTACAATCTTTAGTTTATTAGCAAAGGTAATAAATATCTGATAAAGGCAGCTGGCGGAAGGGGAGGGGTTGGTCACAGTTTGAGACTGTCATCCTTCATGGCAGGAAGTTCCAGTGGCAGGAGCTTGAGGCAGCTGGTCACATTCCATCTATACTTAAGAACCGGGAGTAGGGAGTACTGGTGTTCAGCTCATTTTCTCATTTTATCCATGGAGTGTGCCACCCACACTCAGGGTAGGTTTTCTCTGTTCTGTTAAACCTTTATAGCAGCACCCTCACAGGGTGTGTTTCCATGGTGATTCTCAATCTCAAGTTGACAATGAAGATTAGCCATTGCAGGGACCAGTTGTCATGATTGTGTTCTGTGCAGGAGTCAGGGAAGGTAGGAGGGTGTTTGTTGTACTGTCTTTATACATATACTGCTAATGTGACTCATTTCATGGTCAGTGGAAGCTACTAAGCCTGCCACTGCCTTACCTTTGTAATGAGGATCGTGCAGTGTGGTCAGATTTCACAAACAGGGACTTGGTATGGGTGATAGATGGCATTACATACTTAGAAAGTGGATGTGGCGTTCTCTCGAGAAAGAACTTTTAGAGTTTCTCTCGGTTCTCAGTTTCTTCTGTGTTCTTCATACTGTCCCTTCTCACCCTCTCACTGTGTACTCCAGACTGACCTCCATCCTCTTGTCTCAGCCACCAGAGTACTGGGATTATGGGTGTTTGCTACCACACTGGGCTGCATTATCCTCTTTTAGAATTTCACTGAATATGAATTCAGAGTCAGAGGGCTAAGTGTTGAGATCAGTGACATCCAAGTGGAATTTCACTGCTGTTAAAAATAAATCTCAAATTTTATTAAGCAGTTTTCATTACTACAATTTCATTTCTGTAGCAGTCAGATTTTAAAAGTGTGAAATTTTTGTGTAGCAAAGTTCTTTAATGTGCACAGAGCACAAGATTGTCTTGTGGCCCCTGTGTCCATTGTGTGTGTGGTACCCTCTGAGCAGGCACACTGGGTCCTGTCACCAGGCCACATTCAGGGATGTTTCCAGTAGGTGATTGTTTAGGGACTCACAGCTTCAAAGGCCTCAGCCATCCTTCAGTTTCAGCTTCTAGGGAGTACTGACAAATCACAGTCCTCATTCTAGCAGCTTTTTGTTAAGAGGCTCAAAACGTAAGCGTTTTTATAAAGAATATATTAAAAGTTGGTTAGTGAATAAAACAATTTGCTATTTTATTTTTCCTAACATTGTCTCCCTTCTTCATGCTCTTATATACTCTTATGTTATAGTGTTGTTTTGTTTATGGTGCTGGGGATAGGCCCCAACCCTAACATGTTAGACAGGCTTTCTACCATTGAGCCATCCCGACCCTCTTCATGTCCTCTATGTTTTATTATTGGTGGATTTTATGAATTTTTTGTAATTGTTTTCTTATGTAAGATTGATTCTTTATCTTTAATTCATCCCGAGAGATGGAAAGCACTCCAAACATGATTTTCTTCTTGAAAGGCTTTGGATTAAATGCAGTTCTTACAAGTTATTTTGTTTGTAATAAGGTTCAAAAACAATTCTGTGACATTTCAGGGCTGGGGACAGCTCTGCAATTATGATTGCTTGTCACTCTCAGCCTGACAGCCTGAATTTGATTCCTGGGATCCTCATCATGGAAAAGGAGAACCAACTCCTGAAAGTGTCCCTCTGACTTCCATATATGAGTGTGGTGTATGTGACATACATACACATAGATAAGCAAGTGTAAATTTTTAGAAAATAATTCTGTGAAATTATGATTAAGATAGAATTTAGTTTTTATGTGTTATTTAAGTTGTTATAAGTGGTTGGCTTAAAGAACATCCACTGTTATTTGTGAAGTTATCTAAATAAACTACTCTTTTAATATTTGTATTTTTTAAACATTTGTATTATTAATATGTCAAGTGATTTAAATGTTCTTGATTAGGGCTGGGGGTGGAGTTCAGTGGTGGAGTGTTAGCCTACTATGTGCAGGGCCCTGGACTAGATCTCCACAACTGTTTTGAACATTAAAAAAAAAAAATCACATGTATCATTAACTCACTGTTTTATTTTCGTAATTACACATTTTGTACTTAAATTGACAGAATTTTGACTTACAATACACAAGCCTTAGATTTTGTCTTGAATGTTTTATTTGAGTGAATATTTAGGTGTGAACTGTTAAGTAGTCTAAATATACTTCTTGTCCATAACAGCAGTGTCTTGTAGCTAGGTGTGATGCGAACCCTGTAGTGATGTCTTACACACACAGGAAAAGGATGCCAGAAATGCCACCCACTCATGTAGTTAACTGTTCAGCTGTAATCTTTCAAAGACTGGCACTTTGGCCTGTTACAAGTATGGAGAATGAAAGTCTGCTTTTCGAGATCCAGCTTTCCCTGCTGTTGAGACCAGAATGTTCCATGTACTTAGAATTGACCAGTAGCTGTAGAGGGTCAACTTAGTTGAGGGTTCCTCATGATTAGAAAGTTTCTTTTGTTCTAAGTAGTGTCAACAGCCTCCTGCTCTTTTAAATCAAGTGGTCAGGGAGGTTGCTCAGACATGGTGCTCTGACTGAAGTCAGCTCTGCTAACTGAAGGACAGGTAGCAACAAGGGTGTGGGAGAGAGCTCTAGGAGTAGAGAGAGGAGCAAGTGTGAAGGCCTGGCCAGCATGCAAGGAGACACACACTGACTTGGGGTGAAGAGGTGGAGGTGAGGGATAAGTAACTGGCTCATGACATGGGGTGATGGAGGACACTGGTGAGTTTGGCTCTGATTCTCCAGGGGAAGGTACGAGATGATTATGTGATTTTCCTATTTCAAAGTTTCTGTACACAGCAGGCAGAGTAAAGGAGGCTGCTCTCTTGTCTCCAAGAGGAAGATGACGGGGGCTGTGCTTGGGGGTGGGCAAAGGGGATACATAGCAAAAAGAAGAGGTTTGCAGATGGGTATGTGTGGAGTTGGGGGTGTTGGGGAGCCAGGGGTATCATCCAGAGTTTGCTTCTTTTAGAGATCCAGAAGACAAGCAGAGCAACAGGTTTGAGAATCGGGAGTAAGCGTTGAAGGTTATGACTCCTTTACATGAGCAGCGTCCTCTGTGTGGTACCATGGCATTCAGCCACCAAGATAATACTGAAAGGAAATGTTGTGTAGCCCTGCGGGATGCAGAAATTGTTCCTTGGGTTCTGCTTTTGAATTCTCTGGAATGTTCTTTGCTGTATATGTTATTTCCATAACTGCACCAGGATGCATTACTGTGTCTGTGGTGCTGAATTTCCATAGGCTGAGGTGCATCTAGCAGGCGTTCAAGTGGAGACACTCCTCTCTCCCTTTGCGCATGCACTGAGTCCTGTCTCTTTGATGGCGCACACAGAAGTTTTCATCACACCTACCACGTTTGTCTTAACACTTTATACTTGTATTCCCTAAGCCTAAGTTAATGTTCCTGTCCAGAGGCTGATTATAGAGCTTGTGATTTATCTCTCATGAGGGCTTTCTAGCATGTCAGAAGTACTTGAACTGGGGTTATTGATGGAGGATCTCACCCAAAGCCCAAGATTTGTATTCTTCTTAGGGACTAAAAGTTAGATTTTTTTTTTTTTTTTTTTTTTTTTTTTTTTTTTTTTTTTTTTTGGTTTTTCGAGACAGGGTTTCTCTATGTAGCTTTGCGCCTGTCCTGGAACTCACTTGGTAGCCCAGGCTGGCCTCGAACTCACAGAGATCCGCCTGGCTCTGCCTCCCGAGTGCTGGGATTAAAGGCGTGCGCCACCACCGCCCGGCAGATTTTTTTTTTTTAAAGATTTATTTATTATGTATATAGTGTTCTGTCTGCACACCAGAAGAGGGCACCAGATCTCATTATAGATGGTTGTGAGCCACCATGTGGTTGCTGGGAATTGAACTCAGGACCTCTGGAAGAGCAACCAGTGCTCTTAACCTCTGAGCTATCTCTCCAGCCCAAAGTTAGATTTTTTTAAAAGTATATTTGAGGGGGCTGGAGAGATGACTCAGCGGTTAGGAGCACTGGCTGCTTTTCCAGAGGACCTGGATTCAATTCCTAGCACCCACATGGCAGCTCACAACTATCTGTAACTCCTGTTCCAGGTGATCCAACACCCTCACACAGACATAGATGCAGGCAAAACACCAATGCACATAAAATACAAATAAATAAATTTTAAAAAAGTGTATTTTAGAACCACAGAGAAAAAGTTGTTGCCAATCTTTAAAATAAAACTTCATCTTTGCTTTCTGTAAACCTTTTGGAAAGAGAAGGCTCCAGAAAAACCACTGTTCACCCAAATTTCATTTACAAGTTGAAAACAAGCTAAGTAACCTGAGCCTGTTGTTCTGACAATGGGTGGTAGGGTGGACACTGTCTTGGTTTGCCACTGCATTCTGTTCTGCCTGCTTTTGAAGAGCTAGCCTGGCATTACTGTTTTCTGAGTACACAGAAGACAGAATCTTGCTAATTGTACAGGAGATAGGATAAAACCAAACTTGGAACAGAGTAATTGAAATTTGTGAATTATATTCTTCATCACTAGCTGGGGGAATCTTTTGTGATTTACTGGAAATAAGTGTAGAGATTAACCAGGTAAATAGACTCTTATGAAGTTGTCCTAAAGGTGTTGGCCCAAAGCTGTTTCTGTACCTGTTGTGATGGGATCCAGCTAGTCAGTGAGGATGTACAGACCCTTTGCTAAGTGCCCTGTGCCACGTCTCATCCTCTCACTGAGCAAAAATGGCTATAATTGATACTATCTTCATTTATGAGCTTAATTTAATTCAGTTTTTAAGAAGATAAAGTTTATTTCTATTTTCAGTTTTAAGCTTTAAAAAAGGATTAACTTATGTTTATATGTGTGTGCCTGAGTGTATGTAGACCAATTTTATGCAGGTGCCTGCAGAGGCTTGAAGAGGGCCTTGAATTCCTAGGAGCTGGAGTTACAGCAGGTTGTGAGCTATCATATGGATGCTGGGAACTGAATCTGGATCTTCAGCAAGAGCAACAATTCTCTTAACCACTGAGTCACCTCTCTAGTCCCTTTATTTTTTTGATACAAGGTTTCACACTGTAATCTAAGTTAAGTTTATAGCCATCTTCTGGTCTCATTCCCAGGTGCTTGGATTACAGGCATGAGCCACCATGCTGGCTTTAGTTGGATTTTCTTTCCTCCTCCTCCTCCTCCTCCTCCTCCTCCTCCTCCTCCTCCTCCTCTTCTCCTTCTCCTCCTTCTCCTTCTCCTCCTCCTCCTCCTCCTCTTCCTCCTTCTCCTTCTCCTTCTTCTTCTTTTCCAGTTGGATTTTCTTAAGTATAATATTTATATTATACTTTAAAATATTATACTTTTTTTTTTGGTTTTTCGAGACAGGGTTTCTCTGTGTAGCTTTGCGCCTTTCCTGGAACTCACTTGGTAGTCCAGGCTGGCCTTGAACTCACAGAGATCCGCCTGGCTCTGCCTCCCGAGTGCTGGGATTAAAAGCGTGCGCCACCACCGCCCGGCTTAAAATATTATACTTTTGTATCATCTATTTAAGAAACTTTGGGCCGGGCGGTGGTGGCGCACGCTTTTAATCCCAGCACTCGGGAGGCAGAGCCAGGCGGATCTCTGTGAGTTCAAGGCCAGCCTGGGCTACCAAGTGAGTCCCAGGAAAGGCACAAAGCTACACAGAGAAACCCTGTCTCGAAAAACCAAAAAAAAAAACAAAGAAACTTTGGGCTGGAGAGATGGCTCAGAGGTTAAGAACACTGGCTGTTCTTCCAAAGATCCTGAGTTCAATTCCCAGCAACCACATGATATCTCAAAACCATCTGTAATGAGATCTGGTTCCCTCTTCTGGCCTACAGGGATACATGCAGGCAGAATACTGTATACATAATAAATAAATAAATCTTAGAAAAAAAAAAAGAAAAAGAAAAGAAACCTGGAAAGCAGCTGGGGGGTGGTGGTGCATGCCTTTAATCCCAGCAGTTGGGAAGTAGAGGAAATGGATCTCTGTGAGGTCAAGGCCAGCCTGGTCTACCAAGCGAGTTCCAGGACAGCAAGAATTGTTACATAGAGAAACTCATAACAAGTTCCAGGCTAGCCAGGGCTACCTAGTGGGACCATGTCTTAAAAACAGACAAAAAAACCACTTGGAATTGGATGAAGTGATGGGTACCTGTAATCCTAGCAATGTGGAGTCTGAAGTGGAGGCTTCCAAGACCAGCCCAGGCAATATGGCAAGACTTCATCTCAAAAGTGGAGAAAAACCATACATGAATTGCCTGGGGTATTATTAGAATGTAGATGCCTGGGTCTAAGTGTTCCAGGTGGTTCCCAAATCAAGCCTAAGAACTGCTTCCCCAAGACAAAAATAGGAATGTGTTTGTTTATCCTTTGGGGGCATCCTTATTCTCGTTTGTAAAATAAAGCTAAAACATGTTTGCCTCACAGTTGCTATGGTGATTAAAGTTACACATTTAATCCAATGTCATATTTATAGATTTGGGGCTCCAGAGCTGGGCAGATCTGGGTTCAGATTTCTTCTTCTCCCATGGTTTTGCCTCTTGCTCTCTCTGTGACCAAGAGCAAAGGCTTGTTCTGTTTCCCTCTCTTTATAATGTAGATGCATATGCCCATTATGTGGTAGTAATATCAGGAGCATATACAATGATGTTTGTTGAAAGTGCACAATGCCTCTTTTAAGTAGTAGTGAGTCTTTGCCTTTCTAAAGCAAAGCTTTAAAGATGGTCACACACATATATAGTGATGTAAATGTAGAGATAAGGCAGTTGCTCCATGTCCATAGTTTGGCAGGTGTGTCCTAATGGCCCCTCTGTGATCCCACTTGCCTATCACCAGTAGCTTTTGGGTATGCAATAGATGTGTCCAATGCATGTGTGCTAAAATCCAAAACAGTCCCTGGTTCACTCCGGCTGTTGGTCTTGTGGCCTAATTAGCCTTCTCACTTCAGCCATTGATAGTGTCATGAAGAAAGAAGCATGTGCAGCTTTATTTGTGGAAACAGCTCCTCTACTTGGTAGAGCAGGGTTGGAGCAGTGTTAGCCAACACCCAGGTGGACATAGAAGCAGAGAGAACTTCTGAATTGCTGTGGTAACAGTTCCACAAAGTTCCATTGGCTTCCTAAGTTTGTACATGGAAGAACTCCCCTGTCTTTCCATCAGCACAGTTCTGCCCAGCACAGGCTGCACTGAACAGGTTCTCTGGCTTGTTTTCCTGTGGGTTTTTGGATTATGTGGTGTCAGGTAAGAGTCATTTGTCACACTGTCCTTATTCCCGTTTTGCAGTCTGGTAGTGGCCCTAATGAAGAGCTGTTCAAGCCTTTAGCACATGCCCTGGAGCCCGCACAGTGTAGTTGAGTGAGAGAATGGCCCAGCTAGCCAACATTGGGGAGCTACTCTCCATGCTGGACTCTCCCACACTGGGTGTACGGGATGACGTGACAACCATCTTCAAGGAATCCCTCAGTTCTGGTAAGTGGAGAATTGTCCTTACAAGAAGAGCTTGACCTGGAGCTGAGTGTGTTGGGGCCTAGAGGCAAAAAATTGTTTTCAACTTCAGGGATGTGTTTAGAAAATTGCATCTTTTTTTTTTTTTTTTTGGAGACCTTGTTTCACTATGTATTCCAAACTAGCCTGGAACTTGTGACTCTCCTGCCTCAGCCTTCCAAATGCTGGGACTTAAGGCAGTTCCTCCATACCAGTCTTTTAAATTGCTAGGCCAGAGAGAATATCCGTTGGTGGATTCATACTGCATGTGTTTTAAACATTTAGTTATGGCAGTGCTCAGGTATTCACATACTGACATGAACACCATGCAACAATCTCATGAACTCACCTTCAGGTTCTGAGGTTTTGTTTTTTTTAAAAAAAGTGTGTGTGTGTAATATGTGTGCATGTGTACATGAGTATGTTTGTGTGAGCGTATACACTTGTGTGTGTGCATTCAAGCATGCCTGTTTGAGTTTATGTGTACTGCATGTGTTCAGGTTCTCCTGAAGGTCGGAAGATGGTGTAAAATTCCCTGGAACTAGAGCTATAGGTGGTTGTGAGCCACCATGTGGGTGCTGGGAACTGAATCTAGGGTTTTTGTAAGAGCAGAAAGCACTCTTAACTGCTGAGCCATTTTTTCAGCCATTTATTTATTTATGTGTTTATTTGTTTATTTTTCTTTGTGTGTGTGTGTGTGTGTGTGCGTGCGCGCGTGTGCGTGTGCGTGTGCGTGTGCGTGTGTGTGTGTGTGTAGGTATACACATATTACAAAGGCCAGAAGAAGACATTTGGGTGTCCCAGTCTCCTATCACTCTTTGCCTTATTCTCTTGAAACAAGGACTCTCACTGAATTTGGAGCTAGGCTGGTGGCCAGCAAGCCAGTTATTTATCTTCCTGTCTCTGCTTCCTGGGGCTACAGGTATTCATGACCATGCCCAGCTTTTTAATGTGTGTTCTGCCTGGCTTTTTACATGTGTTCTAGGGATCTGAACTCAGATCTTTATGCTTGTGCCACAAGCACTGTACCCACTGAGTCATATAACTATGATAGTATTTTATATGCTTTTGTGGCTATATAAGCTTGGAATTATCCTGTTAGTCTAATGAATTAAAAAAAAGCAAAAACAGTGCTTAATGACTTTGGATAGTGTAAAAGGATGTTTTCTGGCTTTTATGACAATTATTGAGGGAAAAGGAAGTAAGTCTGATGAATTGCCCTTTTTGTTTAGAACGTGGGCCTATGCTTGTAAACACCTTGGTGGATTATTACCTGGAAACCAATTCTCAGCCCGTATTGCACATCCTGACCACCTTGCAAGAGCCACATGATAAGGTAACTGCTGGGATGGAATTGCAGGCCACTTTGTGAGTTCTCAGTCCGGTGAGGGTGACCACATCAGTTGCCACAGCTTATCTCCAAAGACTAAATACATATGAAATAATTTGTAGGTTCTGAAAAGTTTACAAAGTAACATCAATTTCAGAGGCTTTTTTACAGATCTTGTTCTTTAAAGAACTTGTAATTCCAGTACTGTAGTAGATTAATGGCAATTGAAATAAAGATTTTTTTTTTAAAGATTTATTTATTATGTATAATGTTCTGCCTGCATGCCAGAAGGTGTCACCAGATCTCATTATATAGATGGTTGTGAGCCACCATGTGGTTGCTGAGAATTGAACTCAGGAACCTCTGCAAGATTAGCCTGTGCTCTTAACCTCTGGAGCCATCTCTCCAGCCCCCAAAATAAAGATCTTTAAACTTGTGCTTTGAGTAGGGCTTTTGAAAATACCAATAAGGGGAGATTCCTAAGTCTTGCATTTGCATGTGAGGTTGCCTGCTTTTATAATGCCTACTATGGTCTTGTTTACTCCAGGCCAGATTCCAGCACCACAGTGGCTTGGTTTACATTTAAGGCTAGAGCATGGATGCCCGGGTGTTACAGTAGTAAGGGTCTTACACATCCTGCCGTGGTGTGTCAGGGTGGAGAGAAGTCAGAATACAGTCTTGTCCCTGTTTGCAGCTCTGCATTAAGGCATCCTTTCTCATAAATTGCAGCTGGCTGTTCTCTCAGGCCAAATGAAGAAAACTTCATTCACTAATGTGGTTTTGAAAATCTTGAATTGGGCTTATTAGTCTTTTGATTGGAGCCTTTACAGACTGAGCCATATCTTCAGCCCATGGGGTTATGAAATCTTTTGGGCCCTGTATTAGAGGGACTTGGCATTTACTGCAATTCCTGCCTGTAATTTTGCTCACTTCGTATACTTATAAGACAATGTCTCATGATCTTTTACACTTTCAGCACCTCTTGGACAGAATTAATGAGTATGTAGGCAAAGCTGCCACTCGTTTATCCATCCTCTTGTTGCTGGGGCATGTCGTCAGACTACAGCCATCTTGGAAGCACAAGCTCTCTCAAGCACCTCTTCTGCCTTCTTTACTGAAATGTCTCAAGGTAGGAGACTTGGAAGGCTTTGAAGGAAATGCCTCCATAAATATTATTTCTGAAGAAAGTGTTGTAACCCAGCTTGCAGGAGTCAGTTCTTTGCTTCTACCATGTGGGTCTCAGGCATTGAACTCAGGTTGTCAGACTTGGTGATAGGGCTTTCACCCACTGAGCCACCTCACCAGCCTTGAACCTATCTACTCACTTACTTACTCACTTATTTATATTTTATGTGTATGTGTGAGTCCCTGCGTGTGTGTATATGTACTAGATGCATGCCTGGTACCCTTGGAGGCCAGAAGAGGGAATAGAACCCCCTAGAAATGGAGTTACAGACTTGGGAGCCACCAAGCTGGTTCTGGCAACTGAAATGGTTCCTCTAGAAAAGCAGTCTATGCTCTTAACCACTAAGCCATTTCTCCAGCTTCCCTGGTTTGGTGGTTTTTTTTTTTTTTTTTTTTGAGAAGGGTCTTGCCATGTAGTCCTAGGTGATCTAGATCTCACTATGGAACCAGGCTGGCTTTCAACTCGAGTCAGTCTTCCTGCCTTAGCCTCCCAACTGTTAGAATTACAGGTGTTAGCCACCATGTTTGGCTTGTAGTAGTCCTTTAAACAATAGAGAATTGGGCGGAGGGTGTGGCTTAGTGGTAGAGCTCTTGCCTAGCATGCATAAGGCCCTGAGTTTAGTTCCCAGTACTAGTGAGAAAATGAACTAACAGTGTGCAGTGTCCTTTAATCACTTGACAGAAAATTAACATCTTAGAAGTTTAGTTGGATGGGTGAGAATAGCAGTGTCCTGTGTTCTGTGTAAGCTGTCTCTTACACTTTTATCCAGGTGGCGGAATAGGGAATCTTGAGACTTCCAGACTTGGGAGCTTCAAGCCAAGTTAAACCTATCGCTCAGATGAGGTGGTGGAATGTGGGAAATGGTCCTCCAGTATCCCCACAATGGTGACAGGGCTTAGTGCTTCTGCTAAGTCTATTTCAGTGCTGTCCCTCAAATTCTTAGGGGTCAGGAAATGAGCACAAGAGGGGCTTCAGATCTGTGACCTCAGGATTTGGACCCTCATCCCAGTGCTGAGCCTGACGTCGCCCTTCCCTTCTGCAGATGGACACTGATGTTGTGGTCCTCACAACTGGTGTCTTGGTGTTGATCACCATGCTACCGATGATCCCGCAGTCAGGGAAGCAGCATCTTCTTGATTTCTTTGACATCTTTGGCCGTCTCTCGTCATGGTGCCTGAAGAAACCAGGTACAGTTCCAGTGTCCTTGTCAGGCTTCACAAGGGAATGCTGTCCTTACTGTTAGCAACCATGTGTTGTAAGGGAAGGAAGGATGTATGGTATTCACTACATAGATGAGAAAATGTTTGGGTGCGCCCATTGCAGGACACATAGGCAGCGGGGCTGGCGAGACACTGTCCTTATGCTGTTGATCAGAAAGGATTGTCAGAGAAACTTAGGAGCAGGATGTACAACTTCCTGAATCTCATTAGTAAAACTGGATCACAGCTTCTACCTCTGGGTGCTGTACAACTGAGTTTACAAAATGCTTGTGTTCTTCTGTGCTGATGTGTGCAACCACAGCTTCACGACTTCAGTTGTGAGAACCTATTGGTTGTGCATAGAGGAGGAGGAGACAGACTCCAGTGTCCTCATTGGGGCATGAGTGTCAAATGTATGGGACTTTTCCCATATCAGATCATCTCGGCAGGCAGTGCAGCTTCATCAGAGTAATTCCGAAACTGTCAGCCTGTGAACTGCAGAATCTTCTGGTAGTCCTAGCATGAAATATTCATATTAGAAGATGAAATATGTATGGTCTGTGGGGGAGACTGCTTCAGCTTTCTGCACAAGGGCCATTGAGCACAAGCCTGGCCTGCCAGCCTGGCCATATCTTCTTGGGAGAAAGGGACAGATGCTTCTAGAAAGCTGGAGTTTCTATAGGGTCTTGGTAAGGCCAAATTAATGGAATTGTCCAAGCAACGTAAGCTAATTTCTACGTTGTAGTGTTTCCTCTTTAGTTATAAATCTGCACAGCTAAGATCCTATCTTGGTTTTAAAAGTCTCTTACATGCTCATTCTACAAACCCTCACATGTTCATTATGCACCAAATTCTGTGTGTGGTACTAGGGGAGAAGGAGAGGAATAGCTTCCTTTTCAAGACACACATGCTGAATCAGGCAAGAAATGTCACTGCAGATTGTAGGGAGAGTGACTGTGAGCCTGGGAGAGTGACACTAAGAGGAACCTAGTGTTGGAAGAGTGTTTGGAATCTTCCTTGTGGGGGTGGCTGTAGAGGAAGATGGGTAGATACCCTTCTAGGTCACATGAAGCAGATTGGAGTTTACCCAAAGGATTCACTGGTGGGTTTTAAACAAAGGCATATGGTATATCCAGATTTGCATCTGTCTTACCTTTCTGAAGCTTAGTAGGTGAACTTCAGAGAGCTTCAGAAAGAAAGCATGCTGGCATCCTCAAGTTCATGTCTGTACAACTGGTTTCCTTCCTTAGGCCATGTGACAGAAGTCTACCTTGTCCATCTCCATGCCAGTGTTTATGCCCTCTTTCATCGCCTTTATGGAATGTACCCTTGTAACTTCGTCTCCTTCCTGCGCTCTCACTATAGTATGAAGGAAAACGTGGAGACTTTTGAAGAAGTTGTCAAGGTGAGTTAAAAAACAACAGCTGCCCATCTATTCGATCCTTAGAGCTTCTTTCAGACAGGTACTTTTATAGCATTTGTATTATATGGCAGACAGGAAAATTTTGAGAAGAAATCCTTGACACCTCTACTTCAAACCAGGTAGCCACTAATTGTCTTTCTGATTCCCTAGTCAAGAGTTGCTATTCTGTGCATTTCATATACATGGGATTGTACGGTGTGTGCTCTTTTGTGATTGGCGTCTCACCGCATTTCAAGGTTCATCTGTGTTGTAACATGAATCATTACTTCATCCCTTTTTGTTGTCAAATAATATTCCATCATGTGGATTTGCCACACAACTTCACACCTATAATTTGTCAACCCAAACTCTTCTAGCCAATGATGGAGCATGTGCGAATTCATCCGGAATTAGTGACTGGATCCAAGGACCATGAACTGGACCCTCGAAGGTACAGAAACTAAATTAGTGACAGAATTTTTGAGTCTCTTAGAGATTGGAAGTATGATCTGTGGATATCTGTGGGAATACAGATGTTCCACTTGCAGAATGGGCTGGAACTTGGCATCTAAAGAATACTCCTCAGGGAGAGCTACTGACTCTGTGAGCAGAGCAGAGGTGGTGGCAGCCAGTGCCTGTCCCCAGAAGCCCAGGAAGGCTTGCTTTTTGGTAACTTGAGTGGGCTGGGAGGTTAATTGGGTAGCTGAAAACTAGGAGATTACAGAAAGGCCAGATGTGGAGTAATGAGCCTACTTGGGTCCCTTTCTCCATGGGCATTGCCAAGTGCCTGACACCCCCATGGGCCCTGCAGGAATTCCCAGGTGTGTCCTGAGGAGCCACTGAACCTGCTGAGCTACATGAAGCATAGCTCCTTCTGCCTGTTAGGCGGATTTACGATTCCCAGTGAGGGGATGGAAGCTTTTTGGTGGAAACTGAGCCACAGGTATCAATCTCTGGGATCTTAAAAAGACTGGCATACAGGGTCATGCCTCTTCTAGTCTCTTCTGTCATGGAGCCTCAGTAGTCAGCTTAAAGCAGTGTATAATAACACATAAGCATATAGTTAGCTCCAGCCTGAAAATCAGAACATTCCAGTGGTAGTTCTGCCTGAGAAGCTCCTCCTCCCTGCTCCCTGTCTCCCTCAGAGGCAGCTCTGCTTTGCCCTTATGGTCACTGTTTTCTCTGTAGTTTGCCATGTATGTGGCTTGTTTTGAGCATTGATTGCTGTTAGATACAGGTTTGCAGAGGATGAGGGCAGGAGCATTGTCAGCGTTGGTTGGCCTGCTTCACCTTCTCTAAGAATGCTTTCTGGGGAGTCATTGCACAAGGTGACAAGTGAGGCCTGGGAAGCATGGGCTTACCCTGTATGTGTCTGGCAAAGCTTCTCATGAGGGCTGTTGTCAGATGTGCTGTCCTGGCTGCTCCAGCATAGAGGTAGGTCTCTGCAAAATCCCGTGGAGTAAAATAAATGCAGATCTAGGGAGTGAGAGCTTCCTCAGTATGTAGTAAAGACGAGTTCTCTCAGGTCACTTGATGCTATCCCTTGACTAAAAGGATAGTAGGAGCCTTGGAGATGTTCAGCAGCATGCTTGTCTTTCAGCAGCTCTGTTCTGAGCTGAACTGGCTGCTGTCTGAGACTCAGCTGTTGGCTTGCTCTCCTGAGCCATTGCCTGGCCTCTTTCCTGGGCAGCGTCTCCCATTTCCTTTATTTTTTGTTTTCTTTCTTGGTGTGTGTGTGTGTGTGTGTTGGCAGATGCACACACACATGCGTGTGTATGTGAAGGCCACAGATGGATGGTAGGTGTCTTCCTTAGTCAATTCTTCTCTCCTTTATTTTTTGAGGCAGGGTCTTTCATTGAATCTGAAATTTACCATAGGCATACCCCACTGTGCTTTGTGTGTGTGGGGTATGTGTTTGTGTGTGTTTGTGTGTGTGTGTGTGTGTGTGTGTGAGTGTGTGTGTGTGTGTGTGTGTGTGTGAGAGAGAGAGAGAGAGAGAGAGAGAGAGAGAGAGAGAGAGAGAGAGAGAGAGAGAGAGAGAGAGAGAGATGTGGGTTCCAGGGGTTGGACTAGGCCATTTCCCAGGCCCTCCCTCTGGTTGTGCTATGCTGCATCCTCTAACATTTAGGAAGGATGCAGTTGACCTGGCTGGATGTGAATGCTGGACTGAGGGTTAGTCTCCTCCAGTGACTGGAGGAAGAACCCATTGCCGTTTTGCTGGTATATTTTCCTCTATGGGGGCTGGCAGAATATCTCTCTTTTAGATTGATAGTCTGAAATCTCCTTGTGATATACCTTGGTGTGGATCTGTTGTCACAGTTCAACATATAAGCTTTTAGGTCTTAGGAGATTTTCTTTACTGTTTTGGGTGTGGCTTTCTCTCCTCTGGTTACCTGTCTTTCCTACACTCCAGTGGTGACATCAAAAGCTGTTTTTCCTTTCTATCTTTTAGTCTGCTTCCTGCAGGCTTCCTTGTCATTGATGTTCAGCCTTCCCGCTTTAGTTATTCCCACTGTTAGGATTTTTGCCTGAATGTTCTCTTTAGTTCACAGAGTGCTTTTCTTTAGTAACCTATTTTCGTCTCGTAGATACGGTGTCTTTTTTTATTCTCTCTGCATAGTCTATTTCTTCATTCACTTGTTTTGATTTGTGCTTTTTAAGTCTCTGAGGCTTTTTGCAAAGCTTTAGTGATTCTCTTGTGCTTGGGTGAGAAGACAGGAAAACTGCTTGTGAATGTGGGCATTTTATCTTGAGCATTTTTGTGTGGATCTGAGCTTCTGGGGGAGATACCAACACTGGGATTGTGTTCTTTAGCTGGTCAGATTTTTAGAAAATTCTTTTGATCTCCAGGCTGGTATGACCTGGCTGTTTCTGCAGAAGAGGTAGGTAAGGGAGGACTTGGTGGTTTGGGCATTTAGATTGTGTACTTTCTCATAACTTTCTTGCCTGAGATGCATTTATGCCCCCATGTCTTCTGTTGAGGCTTTGTTCTGGCCTGACTTCACTTTCCTGAAGAGAATCCCCTTGCCAGGGAATAACCAGATTCCAGTAAGGAACAGAGTTGCTTTCTGGGAGCATAGAGTTCCCAGAAAGCCCCAGCTGCTTCAGGGTAGCTATCTCTAGCTTCTTGCATCTCACCTCCAGTTCCAGTAGATCTGGATGCTGTGAGCTCTTGGACTCCTAAGGGTTGTGCAGTATAAACGATCTGACTGGTGGCTTGAAGCTTTGGTTTAGGGCTTTGCTTCTTGGGTTGGACATGCCAGTTATCACCTGTCTGCTGCTCTCTAGATTTAGACACTTGTGCTTTCTGCCTTCTTTTCCTCCCTGTGCTTCATATATGGAAATAGGTCTTTATTATAGCTGGTGGAATTTCAGGAGATTGTACAGTTGGGTGAAAATGTTCAGTCAGCCATATTAGCTTGGGGGCCTTCCCTGTCAGCAGTACATAGCACCTCAGTGCCCAGAGTTGTGGACCATCTGGTGTTGGAAGGAAGATTTGTTTGCTGTGAGAGAGACAGTGTGATAAGGAAGGGGAGCCAGGAAGAAACACTGACGGCAAAACCATAGAACAGGCAATTGTGCATGGTTGTGTGGGGGCAGGATGACACAGTAAAAGGCATTCTGACATAGTAAAGAGCTCTTGAAGTTAAAATGAACCCCCAAGTAAGCATTTCAGTAAAGGAACTAGATGTACAGCTAAGACTGGCCCATTTGAACAAAGGACAGAGGCAGATGATTGAGAATAGCTTTAGAATGGTGGGCAGAGCCCAATAGCCAATAAAACAAATTTTTAAAGGAGAAAAGGACACTTTGGTAGAAGAAAAACTTGTAAAAGAAATTTCCTGAAGTCGAAGTTTCTAGATTGAAGGAGTTTGTCTAGTGCACAGATCAGTCAATGTAAAGGAATGCTGCCAAGCCTCAACTTTGTGAGATTTCAAAATACTAGAATAAACCTTTCAGAAAATGGAAGGATAAAAACAGCCAGACACGTAATAAGAACCGGAAGTCAGAATAGTGTTAGCTTCTCAACTCCTTCAAGAGGCTTTCAGGTTAGAGTTCTGTGGTGTGAAGCTCTTTTAGACAGGCCAGGAGTCAGAGTTCCCACCACCCCCACCCCCTGCACCCCAGCTAACCAAGGGAGAATGCTCTACCAAAATGAGTCCAGGAAGGTTGGGGCTTGATGTCGGTTGGTCAAAGAGGTGTCAGAGCAGTGGGTCAAGGACTGACGCAGCTCCAGAAGGGAGTTCAGCGGGATGAGGAGAGAGACAGTTGGCATCAGTCCAGAGCAGCCAGGGTAGTTCAGTTAGCATTGGACGCATCACAGACTGGGAGAAGGAGACAATGCCAGGCCATACCAAGTGAGAAACTGTGTCAGAACCCCTCAGCTCTGCTGTGATTGATGCTTACATAGTCTCAATAGTTGCTTAAGTCAATTTTGGAAAAAATGAAGAGTTAACTTGAGGAGGAGGGAAAGGATAGTTAGCAGTGATCCTGGTCCTTAGAGCGAGTTAATAAATGAGAAGCGTAGAGTGTATTTGTTGGGCCTTAGAGAGTTGGGGAAGTAATTCAGCTAGCAGAACTGGAGGCAGCAGCCAGAGTAGTTGTCAAAGAGAACAGTGTGAGGCACCCTTAGCATGGCACTGACTTGTTGTTTCTCCCCATAGAGTCCAGTTAGGCCTCGACTTCTTAGTCTTCTTGTCTCTGTCTTCTCTGGCCTTGGGACCATAGGCTGCAGGTACTATAAGCTACTGTATTTCAGCGGTTCTGAGATGCACAACACACATACATTTTCTGTAGGTCTGAGAAGAGGGTACCAAGTAAACAAGCGAGCAGCTGTTAAGATTGTAGTTTGTAGTTTCAGAGACATTAAAATAGAAATAGTCTATTTAAGCCTGCCGTGGTGGTGTATGTCTTTACTCCCAGCACTGGGGAGGCAGAGGCAAGTGGGGCTGAGTTCGAGGCCAGCCTGGTCTACAGAGTGAGTTCCAGGACAGCCACAACTACACAGAGAAACCGTGTCTCATAAGAACTAAAAACAAGATTTTTTAAAAAGTCTATTTAAGTATCAAGGAAATACAATGGAGTTTTGCTTGAACTAAAATAAAATGTTTAGAACCAGTGCGATGGCTCAGTTGCTAAAGGGACCTGAAGCCACATGGTGGAAGAAGAGAACCAACCCCCGTAAGTTGTCCTCTGACCTCTTCAGGTACACTCTGCTACACACAAAAGGATTGATTGTAAAGATACTTAACTGGATTCTTTCCCAGCATGTGCAGTACTCAGAGTTCAGTTCCCAGCACTGCAAAAATAAGCAAAACATTTAATGTAGTCCTCTTTTATTTATGTTTACTTACTTATTGTGTGTGGCTGTGTGTATGCACATGCACATGTACATGCATACATGCATGAATGCACATGTGTGGAGGAGAGGACAGCTTATTGGAGTAATTTTCTTCTTCTACCTGTGTGTAGGTTCAGGGTTTGAACTTGGGCAGCCAGGATTGGCCCTGATGTCTACCTGCTGAATCATCCTGCCAGTCGTGTATTTCTTTCTTTTTTTTTTTAAAGGAATCTTATTTCCTTTACTGAAATTAATTTTGTGCATATTGTATCTTGACTCCTCATTTAATCACTTTCTAGTCATGCTGAGGGTTTGGAAAAAGGAGCTCCCCCACCCCCACCCCCACCTCCATACACATGTCTATAGCAACCAGTACCTAAGGGACAAAGCTTGAAATACTTGCCACTCAGGAAAGCTGCCTTGTGCTCTGGCCATGTGCTGCACACCCTCTCCTTTGTATTTAACACCACATTTTTTTTTAAAAAAAATTAAGCTTTATTTATTATGTATACAGTGTTCTCCTTACCTGTATGCCTGCAGGCCAGAAGAAGGTGCCAGATCTCATTGTAAATGGTTGTGAGCCACCATGTGGTTGCTGGGAATTGAGCTCAGGACCTCTGGAAGAGCAGCCAGTGCTCTTAATTTCTGAGCCATCTCTCCAGCCCCTAATACCACATTTTCAGCACATGAGAATGGACAGGCATTCCGTAAGTGTGTGTAGATAACATGTGTTCTTAGGCGAACCCACACAATGCTCTTAGTGCTGATGCCTTCCTCCCTGTAAACATGGACAGAGGACTGTTGGAGCCCACTTAGGTTTTCTTTACCCAGCAGGCCTGCATAGAGAGGATGATTGGACCACGGGCCTGAGTGCAGGTGTCTGAGATGGTCTGCACTTGGCTGTGCTGGGGGAGGTCTTTTGCTCCACCCCTTTGCATTCTTTTAAAAGCCCTTCGGCAGACACTGGGTCCGATGGATTAGGATCCAGGCCCTCCCGAGGCTATCCTGTATTTTCTGTCTATTTCTCTCCCCTCTATACTTCTATCTAATATTTCCTGCTGCTCCTGCTCAAGAGTACCCTGGGGAAAAATGGGGGTGGGATGGACCTCTACAGAGGACAAGAGTCCTGTCAGAATGACCATGAACTTGGAGCCACAGACAGTAAAGCTGTGTGTCCTAAGAGCAAGTTGATGCTTGGGGAATGTGCAGTTTAAGTGTTCTGTTGGTTTGGGGGCATTTGTAGAACATTTGGCAGATCTAGAAGAGATAAAAGAAGAAACTAAGAGAGTGAAAATTGCCTGTAACTCCAGGGTTTTGTAGTGCTGGAGATTTAACACAGGCCTTGCAGATGTTGGGCAAGCATCTATGACAGAGCTACAGCCCAGCCTTTAGTTTGTGTGTGTGTGGCGGAGGGGTGGGGGGGGACATATATGTGGAGGTCAGAGGGCAACTTTTCAGGGGTCAGTTCTGTCTGTTTTGAGGCAGGGTCTCTGTTTCTGTCCCTGCAGTCCACTGGCACTGGAGCTTCTGGCTGATTCTCCTGTCTATAGCTGCCATCTTGCTGTAGGACTGCGGGGATTACAGTTGAGTGCCACCACATCTGGCTTTTTATGTGGGTACCAGGGATCAAACTCAGGTCTGTCAGGCTTACTTGAGGGGTAAATGCTTTTACCTGCTGCATTATTTCCCAGCCCCTCTAGTTCTTTGAATTTCAGTACTTAATACTATCAGTCTATTTGTGGACACTTACCAGAACAGCTTTGTATTTTCTTCTCATTTAAGGTAGTCTAAAGTGATGAGATGGCACATTGGTTTTAAGGTGTCTGTGGCTAAGCCTGATGACCTGTTCACTCCCTACGACTCATGTGGTAGAAGGAAAGAACTGACTCCCACAAGCTGCCCTCCAATCTCCACATGTCTTGCTGTGGCATTCCTCTGCCCCCAAGTAAATACATAAAATGAGAAAGAAATCTTTTAAAAAGAGATTATATTCCAGTCAGGTGTATCCTAGCACTTGGAATTGCCACAAATTGAAGGACAGCCTTGGTTACAGAGTGAGTTTCAGGGGAGCCAGGTTCACAGAGTAAGACCCTGAGTCAAAAAACATAAAATTGAAAACGAACAAACAAAAAGATGGTGAGAGTCCTTCAGTATTTGAAAACATGATTTTAAAAATCAGCTTTAGTAATGTGTATGGTTTACATACAATAAAACTAGTCTTGTTAAGTTTTGACAACAGTTGTGTCCACAGTGAAGGTTTCCATGGCCTCTGGCAGCCACTGGTCTGTTGAAAGCTTGTTCTCCCAATGTTGTGCTGACCACTCTGCCGGAGGACAGTTCCCTTTGACTGGCCTTACTCCTGTCGAAGCCATGCTGTGGCTCAGCATTATCCCCTGTGTTTCTGTAGGATTAATTGGAGATATGCGGGCCTGAGGCTCCCACTGCAGAAACTCTTTAACATGCTTTACATGTCCTTTGGTCTTAATTGGTTGCACAGTATTTATGGTCCAGGGATGTGTTAGAAGAACCCAGAGACTTTGGCTGGAGACCTCAGGTCAGCCCAGCTGCTTAGTGCTTTCAGCTCCTGCCATTCCCTGCTTCCCTTTGCTTCAAAGCACACATTCCCAGAGCTGTCTGTGTAGTCTAAGAGGCTAGTCTTCATTGTTGTTGGTGACATTTTTCCTTCATGAAACCATTTTAACTAGGGGAGGTGGTTTGTTAGATGGATGGCTAGTTTTTATACTAGTGCTATTCCTACCTGGGTTGGCATGGTTATGCCTCATGCTTTGCTAATCATAGCCCAGTGTCCGGCACTGAGTTGGGCTCTTGAGAATTTAACTGATGTGGTTAGGTGGATTAGTGCATGCCTTTCTTGACTTGTGTTGCTTTTTCTAGGTGGAAGACATTAGAAACTCACGATGTTGTAATAGAGTGTGCCAAAATCTCTCTGGACCCTACAGAAGCCTCGTATGAAGATGGCTATTCTGTGTCTCACCAGCTCTCTGTCTGCTTCTCTCACCGTTCAGCTGATGTCACCGCCAGCCCTTATGTGGACATACAGAATAGCTATGGTAAAAAGTAACTTTGGTCCTCTCTGTTTGCACCACCATCTCAGGAAAGCATTGTTTTTATTTTTGCTCTCAGTGCTCTTCCTAGAGTAACTCTTCTTTTGCTACCCAAGGACTTGTCCCAGAATATTTTAAATTAGAATTTATCTCTATTTTATTTAAATAATTTTCTATCCTTAAAGCTTAACTGTTCTCAGTCTCTCATTAATAACGTAACAGATCCCCAGACTAGTCTCAGCCCCTAAGACAGTGAGGTCTAAGTGCTTATGTCTGGTCCCTGTGTCATGAGGGACTCATCTTCAGTGGGAACCCACAGACTATAGACTGACGTAGTCTGAGAGTCAGGAGTCACAGCAGTTCCTGGCTTTAGGTGGAATGGAGGCTGCAGATCAGGCTATCAGACATGGCAAGCCTTTTAAATTACCCTGTTGTATAACTAGAGTCAGACCTGTCTGATCTTTAACTTCCAAAGGGCATTTAAAGAATCTATAAAGGCTGGATGTGGTGGTGCATACCTTTAATCCCAACACTCAGAAGACAGAGGCAGTGGATCTCTGAGTTCAAGGCCAGTCTAGTATTCTAGGGTACTGTATACAGTGAAGCCCTGTGTACAAACAAACAAACAACCCACAAGAATCTTTAAATGTTAGTTTAAGCCCAAGGATGCCCAAGCCTCTAGGGATTTTGTTTTTTTTATTTGTTTTTTGAGACAGGGCTTCTCTATGTAGCCCTGACTGTCCTGGAACTCGCTCTGTAGATCAATCTGGCCTTGAACTCACAGAGATCCACCTGCCTCTGCCTCCCGAGTGCTGGGATTAAAAACATGTGCCACGATCTGCCCAGCTACCCATAGTGATTTTAAATAGAGAATTGAGTGTTATCAGGTAATCTAGAGGATTGTGGTTGTTAATCAGAATGACTTGGCACCCCATACTCACCCCTGCCTCCTTCCCTTTCATTTCAGGGGGCGCTACTTCCACCCCTTCCTCCACCTCTCGGCTGATGTTGTTCAGTCCAGCTGGGCAGCTACCTCAGAGTCTGAGTTCCCCATCAACAAGGCTGTTACCTGAGCCGCTGCAAGTACGGTGCCACTCAGTGTGCCTTCCCTCTGGTGCCTCCTGGTGAACTTGGCCATTGGTCAGAAGTTAGTGTGTGGTGGGGAAATGGCACACTGTGAGTTTCAGGAGCGCCCTGTAAGAGCCCATGATAGGAGCAGAGAAAAGCCATTGTTGCCAAGTAGGCACCTTGGAATCCAAACACTTGAGATGCAGCTTGTCTCGTGGTAAAGATTTCACAAGATGCAGCTTATAGTTGAAAAGACTGCATCTAAACTGAATTGCCTAGAAATCTGTGCAGGACGCACTGCTCACCTGCTCATGCTGATGTCCTTATTGATTTCTAGGCTACTCTCTGGAGCCCATCTGTGGTCTGTGGGATGACCACTCCTCCTACGTCTCCTGGAAATGTCCCACCTGATTTGTCACACCCCTACAGTAAAGCCTTTGGTACCACTGGTATGTGGGTCTTAGTTGGACTTGATTGGTTGGTTTGGGCCTGTGTTTTGTGACAGGAACTCATAGTGACATTGGGGGCCATTTGGCAGTAATAGACTTGTTTTGGAAACTCAATGTAAGTTTCTGGGCTTTTCAGAATGAGTAAAATAAAGAGACAGACAGATAAATGCTGAGGCTGATCTGGATTCCAGGAAGTTGACTGAACAGCTGCATTTGTAGTGATAGCAGTGCTGGGGAAACAATGGCTTTTCTGATCTTTGGCTCAGCCTTTCTATGGACTATCCTTGTCTCTGAGCAGGTGGAAAAGGAACTCCTTTGGGAACCCCAGCAACCTCTCCTCCTCCAGCCCCACCCTGTCCTCCAGACGACTGTGTGCATGGGCCAGCCTCACAGGCCACAGCCACACACCCCCGGAAGGTGAGTGGCAGGCCAGAGATACCAGTGTACATCTCACCTTGTGAAGCCTAATTATGCCAAGTACCACCCTAACCCCAGATGGGATGGAACTGGATCATACTAACTGAAAATAGGTGCCATCGCGCTCATGGTGTGACCTGCCAACCCCAAGACCCCAAAAGCCTTTCAGGGGGTTGGACCAACTTTCTTTCTTTCTTTCCTTTTTTTTTTTTTTTTTTTTTTTTTGGTTTTTTTGGTTTCTCTGTGTAGCTTTGCGCCTTTCCTGGATCTCGCTCTGTAGACCAGGCTGGCCTCAAACTCACAAAGATCCTCCTGCCTCTGCCTCCCCAGTGCTGGGATTAAAGGCGTGCGCCACCACCGCCCAGCTGGACCAACTTTCAAATCAACATTGACTCCTGTGTGCCCTTCCCATGGCATTGGCAGTACAGACAGTAGTGAGATGCTGACCCCTTAGCACAGACCAAGTTAGAGACCAGACTCTCAGCATACTTTTCAGCCTAGAAATAGGAAAGGGGAGGGAAAAGCATATTCTACACTAAGAGCAGAAGTGATGAGTTTTCATTAAATCTGGGCCTTGAAATTACATATATACCCTTAGGGAATGTAGCTGGGTATTGTGGCACACATTTGATCCAGGCTCCAGAGGCTGAGACAGGAGGATTGTGAGTTCAAGGCCAGTATAGATACAGTGAGACCTGTCTCAAAAGAGCAAGCAGATGAACAAAATAAGAAGGGTACTCAAAGCATGTTTTATTGCACACTGCAAGAAGAGGGGAGTCCTGCCTTGTAGCTGTTTGAGTTGGAGCTGAACTAGCTGCTTCTTTTCTAGGAACATGATTTATTGGAAAGACAAGTGACTGACAGATGGTTTATTCAGGCCTGAGTATTTAGCAGGAAATTTCTTTTCAATTGATTTTTTTTTTTTTCAGATTCAGTACAGGCTAATGGATTTCATTATGACATTTTCATACTTACATGTACTTTGCTCACATTTTCTTCTTCCCCTACCTGTAACAGTTTCTTAAATGATGAGCCAAGTCTGTCACTTCAAGGTAAACAGCTGACAGTAATTTATAGCCAATAATAAAATCCAACTTGCAAGTGAAAATAGGTCATTAAAAAGCTTGTGCCTAGGGCCTGGCATGGTGGTGCATGCCTTTAGCTACAGCACTTGGGAGGCAGAAGGAAGTAGATCTCTGTGAGTTCGAGGCCAGCCTGGTCTACGTATCAGGCTCTAGGTTATCCAGTGCTACATAGATCCTGTCTACAAACCAACAAACAACCTGGCCAGGCATGGTGGGGCACACCTTTAATCCCAGTACTCGGGAGGAAGAGACAGGTGGATCTCTATCAGCCTGGTTTACATAGTTCCAGGATAGCCAGGGCTACTCAGGGAAATACTGTCTCCAAAAACAAAAATCTTGTACCTGCCATCAGTGCTGATTGTTCAAGCACTGAAGATCTGAGCTCAGGTTCCAGTACCCATGTAAAAAGCCAAGTGTTGCTAAGTAAGCCTGTATCCCCAAGCCCTGCTGTTAAAGGCAGGAGGATCACTGGGGCTTGCCGGCTACCGTCCCAGCTCAGTGAGAGACCCTGTCTCAAGGGAATATAGCAGAGAGTGATAATACAGGACACTCACATCCTCCTCGGGCCTCTGAGCACCCGCACATATGCATGTGCACACAAAGAAGAAATACACAGTATGAAGAGTTTGTGTGGTTTCGGTTTCCACATTGTAACTATGTTTAGAAACCATAAGATGTAATATACATTTTACTTTTACATATCTGTAAGGACCTCAATTTTCTTATATTTCAGACAAAGTAATACACAGAAGCATATCGAGAGTAGAATGTAGGCAAATTGAACTGGTTTTCATTAAACAAAATTATTAAAAGAGATTGCAAAAATGTAGCAGTTCTAAGTAATAATTGTCTTAGAAAATGCAGTTTTTTCATAAAAGTATGCTGTATGCATTAACATGAAATTGGTGTATTTTTAAGTTAATAAGTTTCCTGTAATTTGTGTTTTAATTTCAGATTAAACATTTTTGGTAACCACAGATAAAAGAGGCTCCTGAGACTGACACACTTGCATGCACATAGATAGCTAGATAGCTAGATAGACAGACAGATAGATAGATACATACATACATACATATATAGATGGGTAATTTATTTTATGTGTATGAATGTTGTGTGCCTGGTGCCCACAGAAGCCAGAAGTCAGAAGAAGGCATCAGACACTTATATATAATTCAGGGAGTAGAGTTATAGATGGTTGTGAGCTATCATGTGGGTTCTGGGGATTGAACTTGGGTCCTCTGAAAGAGGAGCCAGTACTCTTAACCACTGAGCCATTCTTCCAGCTTCAATTTTGTACATTTTGTAAGATTCTGAAGGGATTTTGAAGTCAACCAGTTCACTGGACTAACCTTTAAACTCCATTACTGTGGGCCACAGAACATGCCCAGCATTTTCACTGTGTGCTTCCGTTTTCAGGAAGAAAGAACAGATTCCTCAAGGCCTTCCCTGCAGAGACAGCAGTATCTCCTAAATGACCGAGGACTAGGTAAACCCCCTGGGTAATGATGGACCTAGCTTGTCTCTTTGTATTGAACTCTGTAGTTTCAAAGCTAAGCTAGATAGAAGTAGCACTGATGCTGACTCCTGGACACACACAACAATGCTGTTTTTGTGGGGTTGGGTTTGAAACCTTTGTAAATGATGTGTAAGTTCTCTATCTTGTGTAGTGGTCCCAACTTTGCTCATCTGGAAGAACTGTTGTGCATGTGTGTGCAGTGTGGCAGCTTTGTGCTTGCAAGAGTTAGTCAGTGTGACCTGAGTTGTCTCTGTCTCTCTGCAGAGGATCCACCTGCAAGCAAAGGTTCCGTTACTCTGGGGAATCTGTCAGAATTCCTAGGTGACCTGGCTTCTGAGGAAGACAGTATTGAGAAAGATAAGGAAGAAGGTAATATGTGTGGGTTGCTACAGGTGATGAAAGTGTCCCACTTCTGTCTCAGAACTGGGCTCTAGAGTCATAACTCATGAGCTTGCTAGGCTTTCTGTGTTGGGGTGAAAAGTGATGTTCTAGCATGTCCAGGGAAAGGATTGCCTGCTTTAATTCCCCTGTAGTACACAAACCCAAGCCCATTTGTCTGGTTGAGTGTTTACAGGTCCCCTTGTTTCCCTACCCTCATTTCAGCTGCGATATCTAAAGAGCTTTCTGAGATCACCACTGCAGAGGCGGATCCTGTAGTTCCTCGAGGGGGCTTTGACTCTCCCTTCTACCGAGACAGTCTCTCTGGTTCTCAGCGGAAGACTCATTCGACAGCCTCTGGGACTCAGGGCTCCAGCATGAACCCTGAGCCTTTGCACTCCTCCCTGGACAAGCATGGGCCTGACACACCAAAGCAAGCCTTTACCCCTATAGACCCACCCTCTGGCAGCGCTGATGCCAGCCCCGCTGGGGACAGGGATCGCCAGACTTCTCTGGAAACCAGTATCCTCACTCCTAGCCCTTGCAAAATTCCACCTCAGAGGGGAGTGAGCTTTGGAAGTGGGCAGCCTCCCCCTTATGATCATCTCTTTGAGGTGGCCTTGCCAAAGACTGCCTGTCACTTTGTCAGCAAGAAGACTGAGGAGCTGTTGAAGAAAGTGAAAGGAAACCCTGAGGAAGACTGTGTGCCCTCTACCTCCCCAATGGAAGTACTGGACAGACTGATAGAGCAGGGAGCAGACGCGCACAGCAAGGAGCTGAGCAAGTAAGCCTGGGCCCTGTTGTTGTTTCTAGACAGCACAGGACCACGAGGACAGAGCAGGACTACCTCTTTACCTGAGGCAGTTGGTTCCCTCATGTTTTCTTAGATGTCTTTCTATTCTGTTGCTTTTCCGTGTCTAGAGCATGGGGCACTTGTGCCTGGATGATCTGTGAGATAGACAGTGTCCATTTGTAAATAAGTCTCCAGTACAGGTCATTTTGTGCCTCTGCTCTGTGTGGATGCTCCAGGGGGTGTTTGCACATTTGTTCTCTGAAAAGCAGACATTAAAAATGAGGTTGTAATAGCTCAGAGTTCAGTAATAGTGATTTCAGAATATCCTCCAGTTAGAGGTTTCTGTTTTCTCTTATAGTGTTGGTAAAAGATGAGATTATCAGTGTTCTCTACAGGTTCAGGTGGATGGATGCTCCACAGAGCCCATGGGCTGCTTAAAAGTTGAGGCAGCTTTCAGTCTTTTTTTTTTTTTTTTTAAACCCTGTCAGAGGATTCCAGGGAAAGAGAAAGAATTAACCGGCTAAGTTGGGTTTGACCCTTTGGCCACTAGTTCTTGGGAAATGTTAGTTTAATCTTTCGTTTGTTTGTTTTGAGAGAGGGTCTTACTATGTAGTCCAGGCTAGTCTGGAATTTATGATCTTCCTACCATAGTCTTCCAAGAGCTGAGATTATAAGGGTGTACCCCCACACCTGGCTCGTTTTTTACCTTTCTTCTATATAATACTCTAAGGTGGAATTTGACAAGAATTGTAATGTTTAAAACTCCACTTATAAAATGAAATTTTGTGTATTAGAGTCAGATAAATGACTTGCATTTATCTTAACAGGGTGACAGTAGCTTGCCCAAGGAGAGTGACTCTGTGTGTCTGCATGGAGAGGGGAGGGAGCAGGACTCCATGTTTTCCAGCAAAGGGTGGTTAGACCAGCAGATCCTGTGGCATAGCCACTAAGCCAAGGAGCTCAGTGCTAAGGCTGAGATTTAGTTATATGCAGTGGACTGCCTATCCATTCCCAGCCACCAAAACTCCCTTCCAGCTCAGCTGTAGACTTGGAGTATGAAAGTTCTAAGTCACTGCAGGTTCTGACTGCAAGAATGTGAGCTAACCTTACTACAGCTAAAAGTCCATATTTTCTGCTGAGGATGTAGCTCAGTTGGTAGAGTGCTTGCCTAGCATTCATAAAGCCCTTCATTTGATGACCAACACCATATCAAATGGGGCATGGTGGCCCATGCCTGCAGTCCCAGCACTTGGGAGATGGAGGCAGGAGGGTCAGAAGTTCAACATCATCCTTGGCTACATAGCAAGTTCAAAGCCAGCCTGGGTTGCATGAGACTTTCTCAAAACACTATCACCAACAACAAAAAGTCCAGATTCATGTTTTCTGGGTCAGATCAGTAACTTATTATAAAATCTTTTCCTAGGTTGTCCTTACCCAGCAAATCTGTTGACTGGACCCACTTTGGAGGTAAAGTTGTTGCTTCAGCACACATCCAGCCCCACTCATCCTTTTTCTGTCTCTGAAGGGTGCCCTCAGGAAGGGCTCCCTTTGGCTCCTGTTCCCCAAGTGTTGCAGAGTCAGTGCTTCTTGTTTTTAAGGAGTGGCAAGGACTGTGAACTTGGAAGTTCAGTGAGAAAGTAAGCACCAGGTTTCCTAGAGAAGGTCTACTTGGTAGGAATGTGCTGGGAAGTCTCCCTGGGAAGCACAGCAGTGAGGGACCTGTGGCAGAGAGAAAGGAGGCCAGAAATAACTCCATGATCAGGTTTCCTGTCTCAGGAGCCCTCCTTTGATACCACATTTGGATGCTTTACAGGGAAGACAAGTAGAAGATTCTTCCATCTCTTAAGAATGGCGGTGCTGGGAACACTGATTGAGTAGTGTCAGAATTGTGTGTACACAGGTGTGGAGACAGGGTCTCTCACTGGCCTAGAGCTTGCTAATGTACCAAGGCTGGCTGGCTAGTAAGCCCCAAGGTCTGCCTGTCTTTGCTTCCCCAGTGCTGGCATTAGGGGCACACACTACCATGCCTAACTCTTTTCCATGGGTTTGGATACCACCCCAGGCCCATGCCTGCACAGCAAGCACTTCATGGACTGAGCTCTCTCCAAGACCCCGAGAACTATGTTTCTTAGTGAGGCGCCTGGGAGGCCCTTGTTGAAACTGTGTGTAAAAGGCCTTTCTGCCACCTTCCCTCTGCTTTAAAATCAGGCTCTCCTCCCTCAGATGAGATCCGAACTCTCCGAGACCAGTTGCTTCTCCTGCACAACCAGCTGCTGTACGAGCGGTTCAAGCGGCAGCAGCACGCCCTCAGGAACAGAAGGCTCCTGCGCAAGGTGATCAGAGCAGCGGCCCTGGAGGAGCACAACGCCGCAATGGTGAGCAGGCGGGGGAAGCCGTCCACGGGATGGCTTAGGAGAGCAGCTTCCAAATAAGGACAGCCTTTGTTAGTCCCAGCTCTGCTCTAATGGCTGAGGGCAAGCCACTTAGCCTGTGAGGTAGAGCTGTGCCCAGCTGGATCTTAGAACTCCTCTTAAGCTCTCAGGAACCATGAGAACAAGTGACTTTTTGTGACCACTTGGCACTGGCCATGAATGTGAAGGTCCAGTGTAGTTTTGTTTTTCCTGCTGGTAAGCTGTTTCATGGCACAGAACTGAAGGTGTTTGATGTCGTGGGTATAAAGTCAACCAGACCTTTACTTTGAATGGTGGATTTTACCTTAAGCCTTTTAGGGTTTTGTTTGTTTTTGAGGGTTTTTTTTTTTTTTTTTTTTTTTGCAGGGAGGTGGGGAGGTTTGTTTGAGATAGGGTCTCTCTATAGTCCTGGAACTGAAACTCACTATATAGATCAGGCTGGCCTCAAACTCACAGAGATCCTCCTGCCTGGGCCTCCTGAATGCTGGGGTTAAAGGCATAAGCCACCACATCTGGCTTAAGCCACCACACCTTAAGCCTTTTGATGCTTCTTTACCCATTCTGTAGACAACAAATGAGCATTCATTCTGTGCCGGGTACACTGGGTGACAGTCAGGGCCCAGCATTTTTGAGGACTAAAGCACTGTATATCCAGGGTCTTCCTCAGTTGTCAGCTAGGACTTTAGCAAGTATCAGAAGCATGGTGGGTGTTTTTGTTTGTTTGTTTTTTGTTGTTGTTGTTTTTCGAGACAAGGTTTCTCTGTGTAGTTTTGGTGCCTGTCCTGGATCTCACTCTGTAGCCCAGGCTGGCCTCAAACTCAGAGATCTGCCTGGCTCTGCCTCCCAAGTGTTGAGATTAAAGGCGTGCGCCATTGCCGCCCGGCCACATGGTGTTTCTTAAGGAACGTTCCATGTGTTCATGTAGAATTTGGAAAACTTTTAACAGTAGAGAGGCACCAGGCCCATAAATGTATGATTAAAGTTCCAGGGCAGTGTGTGACTGTCAATGTTGGTGACATGTTAAGCTTGAGTGTCACTGCCTATATTGAGTGGCACCTAAAATGATGGTATCTCTGTCTTTGCTAGAAAGATCAGTTGAAGTTACAAGAGAAAGACATCCAGTTGTGGAAGGTGAGTCTGCAGAAAGAACAAGCCCGATGCAGTCAGCTTCAAGAACAGCATGACACCATGGTGACCCAGCTGCACAGCCAGATCAGACAGCTGCAGCATGACCGAGAAGAATTCTACAACCAGAGCCAGGAGTTACAGGTATCAGCCTCTGCCCGGGCGGGGGGAGGAGAAAGCATGGCATCAGCCACTGCCTGGGTGGGGCTCGGAGAAAGCATGGCATCAGCTACTGCCCAGGCGGGGCTCGGAGAAAGCATGGCATCAGCTGGGTCCTGTCACCTTATTGAGCTTGCTCTCTAAAATGACAAGTCTATTTCGTGTTGGATAGATCTTACTCAGGACAGAAGTTCCCCAGCTCTCTTGATTCATTGTTCCCAGCACCCTGGAGCCAAAAGGAGCCACTTAATGTTCCTCTCAGCCAATGGTTCTTAACCTGTGGGTCATAACTCTTGGAAACCACTTATTTCCAATTTCTTAAGAAACACTTGCCGGGCGGTGGTGGCGCACGCCTTTAATCCCAGCACTCGGGAGGCAGAGGCAGGTGGATCTTTGTGAGTTCGAGGCCAGCCTGGGCTACAGAGCGAGATCCAGGAAAAGGCGCAAAGCTACACAGAGAAACCCTGTCTCAAAAAAAAAAAAAAAAAAAAAAAAGAAACACTCAATAGCAAAATTACAGTTATGACATAACAATGAAAATAAATTTATGGCTGGTGATTCCTAAGACCATCAGAAATCTATTTCCCTGCCAGGTGGTGGTAGTGCACACCTTTAATCCCAGCACTCGGGAGTCAGAACCAGGTGGATCTCTGTGAGTTCGAGGCCAGCCTGATCTACAGAGCGAGATCCAGGACAGGCTCCAAAACTACACAGAGAAACCCTGTCTCGAAAAACCAAAAAGCAAAAAAAAAAAAAAAACCCCAGAAATCTGTTTCCTGATGGTCGTGCCCACAGGTTGAAAACTGCTGCTCTAAACAGGTTTGAACAGTCAGGGAGGTTGATTCCTCCTGACATAGTAGCTGTTTGGAAACAGCACACCTACATTTAAAATGGTTTAAAATTCACTCTTAAATAGGCATGATTGCTAAGGTCATGTGTTGGCCCCACACAGTGTTTTGGCCCTGGATTCAGTAGACAGTGACACCCTCATTTCCTTTCTGTTTTCTCATAAGCCACCAAAAGCCCAGCTTTGCCAGGATGTGGCATTATCCACAAGCACATGGCACTGCTCTACCAACTAATTGGTAGTTCCCATGATGTCCCACAGATGTCACTATGGGCACCTCAAAAAGTGAAAAGTTTGGGCCACATTTCTTTGTGGCTGCCTGATCTGGGACATGCTGTTTGGGAGCTGTAAGGATCAGATCTTTGGTTTTTTTTTCCCCGTTTTTTTTTTTTTTTAACCCTTATCTTAAGTAGTAAGAGACTCGGAATCTCTCCTTTAAAATTGAGAAGTCCAATACTGATGAACAAGAGAGCAGTTGAGGAGCCGAGCATCCCCAGCTCTGCCTTGCCCGTAGGTGCTCTTGACACCTCACGGCCAACTCTCTTTGGTAGACAAAGCTGGAGGACTGCAGGAACATGATTGCAGAGCTTCGGGTAGAGCTGAAGAAGGCCAACAACAAGGTGTGCCACACTGAGCTGCTGCTAAGCCAGGTTTCTCAGAAGGTAAGATGAGACCCCCACCTGCTGACTCTTGCTTCAGAAAGACAGATTACTTGTGTGTCTGTATTGGCACTCCAGCAGAGAACAATTCTACACAGGAAACATTTGGCAATGTCTGAGACATTGGTGCTTCTGGCAGTAAGTGGGTAGGGGGCATGGGTACTGTCAGATGCAGTATACCCTCCAGTGCAGACAGCCCTCACAACAAAAGTACCTACTGAGCTGGAGCCAGGCACATCCCCTGGAGCCCTTTTTTAATACCTTGCTTATGAAGTATCAACAGTTTGTTAAGGCTTTTGAGCTGTGACTCCCCATAGGGATTCAGTGAAATCTATGTGTCATGAGTTCATTGGGGCTGTGTCCCATAGCTGCATCTGCTCCAGTGTTCTTGGGCTAGCTGCAGTGAAACACAGCCATGTTGCTTCTATGCAGAGCACAACCCAAGTGTGTTTCTGCTGCCCTTGGTGCTTTCTTCTCCACTAGCCCTAGCCTCAGTGGGAATGGTTTATTCTGCCCTGCATTGCACTGTGCTCCTCCATAGTCACTGTCACTGTCCGTTGGCTACTTTTGCCATGCTGAACTTGCACTTTCTCACTTCCATCTGGACAGCTCTCCAATAGTGAGTCGGTGCAGCAGCAGATGGAGTTCTTGAATAGGCAGCTCCTGGTGCTTGGGGAGGTCAATGAGCTGTACTTGGAGCAGCTGCAGAGCAAGCATCCTGACACCACCAAGGTATGTGGCAAGGGCACTGAGAGGCACAAAACTGTACTGCCTGGCCCTCTGTTCTGCAGAGCAGCCAGACCCAGCCACACAGCACTGTCCAGCCATTGGAGAGCATGCAGCAGACATGTGCCCTTTGCAGGGGGTCCAGAGTACATTTGTCAGGTACCATTCTCTTCGCTGTGACAAAACTCCTGAAAAAGCAACAGAAGCAAAGAAAGGTTTATTGGCTCCCAGTTTAAGGGTCTAGTCCATCTTGGCAGGAAAGCATGGTGACAGCAGTGTGAGGCATCTGGTCACATTGTGTCCACAGTCAAGAAGCAGAGAGAGATTGGTGCTCATCTCACTTCCTCCTTTTTATTCATTCTGGGACCCTGGCCTATGGGATGGTGCTGCCCATATTTATTATTGGTCCTACCACTTCAGTCAACTTAGTCTAGATTAGTCTCTTCCAGAGAGGCCCAGAGGTTTGTTTCCATAGTGATTCATATCCCCTGAGTCACCAACATTGGCCTTCACACAGTGAAAGCATGAGATGTGACTGCAGGAGGGAGGGGAAAGATGGGGGCAGCCAGCTCTGCCTAGCACACCTAGGGTGTGTGGGGGCTGCTGTGCCCCAGCACCCATGCTGCTTTGTTTCCTTTTCTTGTGACTCTGGTCCTGCCGATCGATGTTCATTCAGTCCTGGTATCAGCATCAAGGCCAGTTAGTGTTTGCCAGTGTGCTGAGACAGGTGTCCATGTCACTATACAGTTCACTTTGTGCGGTGTTAGTGAAGGAGCTGGGTTGGAATTTCAAGAGTGTCCTCTGATGTTCTGATACTGCTCCTCCATCAAGTGACCTTAGCACCCTTGGGTCAAGGCTCTATGAAATGTCATCTGTGGTCTCCAAGTGGACAGTGTTCTGAGAACTGAAGAGACATAACTCATGGTAGAGTTGCATCTTCCTTTTCAGCTCTACATCTTCCGGTTCAGACTCTGGAGAATGTCAAAGGTGAAACTGTCTCCAACAATGAATTACTCTGGAAGCAGAATAGTTTCAAGAGAATGTGGGGATCAGACCCAAGGACCTACCGCTAAAGAGCTTGCTGAGGCATATTGTTTTTTTGAGATAGGGTCTGCCTATGTTGCCTTGGCTGCCCTGAAACACTCTATATAGACCAGGCTATCCTTGAACTCACAGAGATCCATTTATCTCTCCCTCCCATGTACTAGTATTAAAGATGTTGCCACCATGCTGCTGCTGAAACAACTTTTTGGTGCCTCCAGAGAGATGACGCATAGCTGAACTGGCTTCTGTTACTTGGACTCTTGAGACTGACAGCAGCCATGTTCCTCTCCTGGGAGCTGTTTCACAGTTATGAATTGGGAAGCCCGCTTGTTAGGCAGGATGCCGTCTGTTATACATCATGAAACAAAATGAACAATCTTGCTTAATAATACAGTTTTATTGCTGCAATTGACAAATTTCCTGAGACAGGTGAATTCCTTGGTCAAGGTGGCAGTTTGGGGCCAGCATGAGGAAGCCAGGCTCTTTGTATGAACTCTTCTTCCTCCTGCCATCTTAGCCTGTTAGCCCTGTCCTCCAGCTAGCCACACTGGTGTGCCAAGTGCCCCAAGTTCAGCCCTCACAGGCCAACCACATGGTGTTCCCAGGAAGAGGCGAGTATCCCCTCCTACAGGTGGGTGTCTCTCAGTGAGAACAACCTTTCTTAGAACCTTCTGCGCGCTTCTGGCCCTATTTTCCTTTCTGTTTGTTCCTAGCCTGTGAGGGCCTTGAGCAGGCCAAGATCTGCCCCTGAGTGGGCATCTGGGTCACTGTTCTTCAGGCCCATGGGGGAGGTGCAGGTATCTAACAGGCTGTGAGGGTTACTGAGATGCCCAGGGCTTGCTGTTTAATTCCTGTGTGAGTATCTATAAGTCAGTACAGATGTCCCTGTTGCTGTGCAGGGATGATGGTTCTAGGGCCCTGCAAGTCTCCAGATGGTTAGTTCCTCATAAGATGAGTCCTCCCATGTACTGTGAGCATCTCCAGGTCACACGTGCATGGCTAATGTAAGGTAAACACTGTGTAAGCCGCTGTAAACTGTATTGTTCAAGGAGAATGACAAGAACCCAGCATGGCACACTTGGTGCACACAGTGAGCATGGAGAATTCCGGCTGCTGGGCTTTGTAGCGGTGGAGGGTGACTGCTGCCTCTGGTACAGAAGTCAGCTGTGCTGTTACCTAGAACTGTTCAGCACAGCTGGAATGGCCATGTTGTCAGCCATTTCTGCCTTCTGCATTCTGGAAACGTCTGATTTACTGGTCAGCGTTGAGGCTTGGTGCCTTCCAGAAAGGTTACCTCCTTGTAACCTTGTAACTTAACTATTTAGGATCTTTTTGAAAAACTTCTATGGTGTCGAGCATGTGTGTGTGTGTGTGTGTGTGTGTGTGTGTGTGTGTGTGTGTGTGTGTGTGTGTGTGTAAAACACAGTAACAATTGCTAGGAAAGCCTCTTTTCCACCTTTTGGGGGCACATCAGTCTACACTTACTTTGGATTTGCCGATGCAGGCAGGCCGCTTGTGTGACTTGGCTGACAAACTTAGGCAGGTACCCACCCTGAAAACGCTGCGTCTCCTGAGCAGACATGTTCTCTTTGTGTTGCCGTCTCAGCTGCTGGTAGAGGAGGAAGGGTAAAAAGGCAGATGGCCAGTGCCATTAACCTGTGCAGAGTGGCTTATTTGGTGCAGGTGACAAGCATGATCCTGTGGGCGATGGTCCACTTTTGTGCCTTTTTACTGGTACAGTATGCACCCTGCAAACAGAGGAAATGTATGTTTTCTCTCACAGAGCCCTGATATCAGTTCTAAGGGAACTCATGGTTCTTGGCTTTTGTAAGCAGATTGTGGTGACTGTTGTGCATCATGACTTTCCATGTTTCAGATGGTTTTCTTAAGGATAGATATCAAAAATGCCCAGCCGGCGTACTTAGCAGGACGTCAGCCTCGGTTGGGTCGGGACACTGAGTGCCTCTCAGTGTTGAGGACATTGCTTGTTGAGTTCCATTGCACAGTCATCTGTAAGTACTGACTCCAGACCTTCTTATAGGAAGTAGAAATGATGAAAACTGCTTATCGAAAAGAACTAGAAAAGAACAGAAGCCACCTTCTCCAGCAGAACCAGAGGCTGGATGCCTCACAGAGGCGAGTGTTGGAACTGGAATCTCTTCTAGCCAAGAAAGACCACCTTCTCCTAGAACAGAAGAAATACCTTGAGGATGTCAAGAGCCAGGCGAGGTGACTCACAGGAAAAGTGGGGGTGGGATAGGGGTGAGGCCCCTCCCATGTTGTGAACCAACCCTGTCTTTCAGTGGACAGCTGCTGGCCGCAGAGAGCAGGTATGAGGCTCAGAGGAAGATCACCCGGGTGTTGGAACTGGAGATCCTAGACTTGTACGGCAGGTTGGAGAAAGATGGCCGCCTACGGAAACTAGAAGAGGACAAAGCAGAAACAGCAGAAGCCGCGGAAGAGAGGTGAGAGCAGCTGCATCAGGGCTGTGGAAGGCTCTGCCTGAGGGCCACAGACAGCCATGCAGCGTGGCAGGCCTTTGGAGAGGCAGCGACAAGCAGCCGAGCTGCTGTCCTCTGCCCAGCCCTTTCCAGAGAGCCGCCCGTCCTGTTGCCTCCTGGCCACACTCAGTTATCCGCCCTTACTGTTGCAGACTGTCTGTCACCCAGCATAACCCCAGTTGTTTGGGTTCCAAGTTGAGACTCTTGCTTGTGACTATTACAAACAGAGTAGGGGGAGCTGGAGGGATGGTTCAGTGGTTAAGAACACTGGCTGCTCTTGCAAGAGGACCTTGGTTTGGTTCCCAGCACCTAGGTGAGCTACCTGTAACTCCAGTTCCAGGGAATCTGACACAGTCTTCTGGCCTCCTCAGGTATCAGGCACACACATGGTGCATATACACACACTCATACACATAAAAAATTTAGAGAATGGGCAAGCCAGGTTCAGGGAGCAAGTGTAATTTCACATTTCCCCAAAAGTGCTACAGTTACCAACCGCATTCCCTCTGGGTCTCTTACAGGCTTGACTGTTGTAGTGATGGCTGCCCAGGTTCCTTGGTAGGGCATAATGAAGAGGCTTCTGGCCACAACGGTGAGACCAGGACCTCCAGGCCTAGTGGTACCCGTGCCAGCTGTGGAGGCAGAAGCACTGGAGGCAGCAGCAGCAGCAGCAGTGAGCTTTCCACTCCAGAGAAACCCCCGAGCCAGAGGTTCAGCAGCCGGTGGGAAACCGCTGTGGGTGAGCCCTCCAGCAGCATCCCCACGACTGTTGGCTCACTTCCCAGTTCCAAAAGCTTCTTGGGCATGAAGGCCCGGGAGCTGTTCCGTAATAAGAGTGAGAGCCAGTGTGATGAAGACGGTGTGACCAACAGTAGCCTTTCTGAGACCCTAAAGACAGAACTGGGCAAAGACTCAGGTGTGGAAAGCAAGAGTCCTTTGAATCTAGATGCCTCACATCCATCTTCCCCAAACTCGGACAGTGTGGGGCAGCTCCACATCATGGACTACAATGAGACTCACCACGAGCACAGCTGAGGGGGTCTGTCAGTGTTAATTTGCGTCTTTGTCAGCACAGAACAGGAGGTGTGAATGCACGTTCTAGGCTTTTCTGTTTCCAGGGTCTGAGCGGCTGCTTGTGCAGTGGGAATGGGATAGAGGTCCTTGTGACAGCAGGCAGAATATGGGATGATGGTTTTTGGGTCTGGCATTGAGATGCTTTCCTTCACCCCACCCCAGCCTCTTTCATTTACCTAGCAGTATGTACTAATTGAGGACTGTGTGTGTCCCTTGTGGCTTTATTTTCTTCCTTCCTCCCACCAAATGGCTCTGTCCTTTGAACCTGTGCAATATGAGGCCAAATTTCATCTTTGGGTCCAACACACCACTCTGCTTCCTGAGGTGCAGATAGATGGGTGGCTCTTGGGTAGACCAGGTAGTTAGTGGCACTGCAGGTAAGTCCAGTTTTGTCCCTTCCAGGAGGGTGTAGAAAGTTGACTGTCTTTACAGGAGCGTTTTCACTTCTTTTTGGTTCTGAAGTTCAGCATCTAAAACCACAGATCTAGAGAAATTGGTTCATTCACCTCTGCCTTCTTTTGGCAGCTCTGATATGCTTCCTAGAAGGTTCTGTGAGCATACCAGTTGTTTTGATAGTGTAGTTGGCGCTGTGGAGGCCATACTGCCTTACTCTCTGGAAAGCTCTTATCCCTCCCCCACTACCTCTTATTTATTTGGTATTTGCTTGAATGCTGGCACCATGCTGCCTGTGGGTGTGTGTAGGTGGTCGTCCTGTAATCTGCAGACTGCAGGGAGTGGGCACTGGGAGGGGCACCCAGGATGCCCATACACGTGTGGAACCATGTCTCTGGCTGGCCCCGTCCAACTGAGCCACGGTTCCACCCTTCATTCTGTTTGCCTCTCCTTGTCCATGTGCTCATTACCAGCTGCTTTGTGATTCTGCAGCAGACGGGCTTGGAAGAATCAGAATTTCCTTAGAGTTTATGTGACGATTGTTCTCGGGCTGGGGATGCCTTCTCATAGTAGGTTCTAGCAGCTTTTTACACCAATTCTGACTTTGCAGGAGAGACTCCTCCTGGAGCTTCATGTCAAACACTTCTGTTAGGAACAGCAGAGCAACTCAGAGTCCGGGAGGGTTGATGGAGGCTGGTGGCCTGTACCACTGCCTGCCCTCATGCTCACAAGAGGTGACATTGATCAGAACATGGTGGTGGCAGAGAGCCCAAACTCGACCAATGCTCCTGAAATAAATGCTGGAAGTATAAGAGTTGTTGCCTGATATTCTGGACCAGGCAAGGAGAGACTTGGGAAGGAGCCATGAGCTTGGTTTTCTGGTTTCTGTTCTGTTTGACATATAAAGAACAGAAGGGTTTAGCTTCAACAAAGGTAAAAGAAATGAATGGTACGCGAAATCTTACTGCATATGGAAGTTTCCAGCCTGAGGGTGAAAGTCTTTTTTAAGTGTGCAAGTAAATATCCTAGCATCCTTAGGTAAGGTGAGACTTCTTGTCACCATGGCAGAGCTGGCTGGAGACCTGTTAGGGCCATATCTTTGCTATAGCCAGCCCACAGGAAGACATGCCACTGACTACTCTCAGACCAGCAGAGGGCAGCCACTGCCCCTGGACACTCAGTGATGCCATGCTTTTCATTAGCTCTGCCCAAAGGAAAGCTGAAAACCCAGTGTTCTCTCACTTGATTCATTGTAGGAAAGGGTAGATGAACAGACTGGGAGAAAGATCTCACAGTTAATGGTAGACACTGCTCCTAAGAGCTGTCCTCACCACCACCACCTGCCCCCCAAGATCTGTGCCAGAGAACCATGTGCCAGAGAACCAAGCCTTTTTTCCTCTACATTAGGAAGGAAACTTACAGACTGCACAAGTGCTGATGTTTAGGGAGAGGAGGCAGCAGCATGGTAGACTGAGGTATAGGCTAGAGTAGCTACCGACTCTGCTTGGGCCCTCAGCACTTTCCTCCAGCCTGGGTGCTCTGTACCCAATGACAGAGCCTGAGCATCTTGTGTGGCTTGAGTTCTAGAAGGCTGTTGAGGCTTTTATTTTTATTTTTTTCTAGCTAAGGTTGGGGGACTGTGACCTGAAGTCATCTTGAAGGTGCCCAGCCTAAACATTGGCTCTTTTCAAAGGACTCCAGGATCAGTTGGGTGGAGGCTTCTGTTTGGAGAGCAGTGACAGAGCATCTGGGAATCAGTGGGTCACCTGATGCTGCTGCAGTCAGGAGGGGAACTTCTGAAAGGCAGCTGAGGCCGGGGCCAAGGTGTTGGGGCAGTAGGTGTAATGGGCAGCTTGGTGCGTGTGAATGCTGGGGTTGAATGGTTCCATCCTTGAATCATTTGAAGTTGGTGCTGTGGTTGCCCAAGGGACCCCAGGAGACTGGAGGCTGTGTGTCATGCAGTCTGGAATCCATTAGAAGCAGCACCACAATGCCACTGGAGTGGAGGAGCAGGTCAATGCCCAGGGGAGGAAAAAAACACGCCTAATCTCTGGCTAACATTCCTCCCTGAAGTCTGGAAGTGTTTGCTTTGGGAGCAAGCGCAACATGACCGTGAACATGAGGAGCCAGGCTCTAAGTGGTATCCCTGGAGCAGGCAGCACAGCCGCCAGGGGTGAATACTGACCTCAGTAGCTTTGCTGACCCTTTCAGGAGGAAAGTTTGTTCTTCCTTCTGGACTAAGCTGAGGAAGGTTCCAACTGTATGTGACATGGTTAGCAGGGAGTCACTCTTCTTAGAACGCAAACTCAAAACCCAGGGAAAGTCCTGGAAGCCACAGGTGGTTAAAAAAAATTAACCTCTCCTCCCCAAGCTGCTGTGGCCAGTGGCCAGTGCTTCTCTGGGTGGTGGTGGCACACAAGTGACAAGCCACAGACTCAGGGCCACTTGCGGCATGTGTGGGCTCTAGTGTTGAGAGGAGAATGAGGACATGTTAGCAGTCAGATGGTTGAAGATGAAAAGACCTGAGAGTAGACTACAGGCTGACAGCTAGGTGGAAATCGAGGAGTGGGTAACAACAGTCTGGTGCGGTGAGGCCAGCCAGCAGGAACCTACTGCTTGAAGCCAGAAAGAACTAAAGAACAATCGGAAGTCCTGTAGGAAGGCGCTCGTTTTCCTGAGCAGTAAGGGTGGGAGGCGTTGTGGACACGCTGGCAGGGTGTGGGCAGTGCACAGGCTCAACTTGCACTGCAGCCCATGTGGAGTCTGCCCCAGCCAGAGGCCAGTGGTCCTGCACACTGTGACTCAGTGGCAGCCAGCTACACCTTCACCCCAGGCCCATGCTCTACAGCCACTGCTGTGTACACTGGAATATAATATATCCAGTGGAAGGGTGTTTATGTCCTTGGATACATGCAGAGTGCTGTGGTATGTGCCTCCATCCTCCCCACCCCACCCCACCCATTTGCTGCAGAGTCACTGATTGCCTTGGGTTTAGCCTGTCTGTGTAGGTAAAGTGGGAACTGGCCCCTGGGCTGCTGCTGTGACCCTTGTTCCCATTCAGCTTCCCAGTCTGTGAGTCCCTGGTGTGCCCAGGGGAGCAGTGTTTCTGATATCACCCCAAGTTTTTAAATGCAGTGTAGAGAAGCGGCTGCAGCTACAACAGAAACTGCACCCTGACCAATTTTGGTCTCAGAATGAAATGAATGGGGGCCAAGAAGTGCCCTGCCCTTCCCAGAGCCCCAGTATTACCCACTTCTGAATAAGTAGGCTGACTGATCCACTGGAGCTGATCTTTCACTAGACTGATCCCTCTCCTTGCCCCACTTCACACAGTGTTGGAAAGGAGAGGCCGTGATGGTGTTTGTTAGCTCTGTCGGATCAGAGGCAGGAAGGCGTTTTTGCACTAGGAAGATTTGGTGGTCACTATGAGACTGGACCACAAAACACATTACGGAGGAGCAGGTTTTGCTAAGACATAATTTAGTTTTATAATCAATCATGGATGAACCATATATGGCTAACTTGGAGTTGCGCGGGGGGCGGGGGGAGGGGGACGGTATTTTCCCATCAGTGAAAACAAATCAAATTTTTCAAAAACTCTTTAGTTCAGTGGAAGTCACCTCTTCTCAAAAGGTTTAAACTTTCCCACTATGACCTTAAAAGCATGTCAAACAGTCCGCATCAGATGCCATAAATACAGGCTGCAGGAGAACATGGTACAGTCTCAGTGAATGGAATCAAAGGTTTGCTGTCCTTAGAATGTTCTGAAATGTCAAGGCAGTTGCTTGTGTTTAACTGTGAACAAATAAAGATTTATTGTTTTGCACTCCTCAGTGTTGAGATGAAGAGACTTTATACTGGCCTTGGGGGCATGTGGGTGAAATGAGACAGTCCAGAGACACTGCAGTCTGTCTGGAGTGGTTTCCTGGATGGTGGTATGGAACAGGGGTGGACTTGGGCTGGGGAACAGATAATTCAGCTTCCTTAAACTCATGCCCCTGTCTAAAGAGCAGTGTGTGGAAGAGGGGCCACCTCTGACAACTTGGCCTCTCAAGTCTGCATCTCAAGTCATCCTGATGGAACCCAGCGGAAGCTTACCCTGGTTCTGGCCAGCTGTGTTTGTGGTATGCCAAGGGATAGTGCAGCCGTCATCATCACCTACACCCGGATGCCCCCTCTGCCCTTCAGGCATTGGGCAGATAACCTTTACATAATTTTGAAATTCTTCCCCCACCTAGTCCCTACCACTCGGCCTGGGCCTTAGTGGGGTAAGCAGGGTTCAAGCTGCATAGTGGTGCCTCAACCAGCACATGTCTGGAATTACTACTGCACTGCCCATCTTAACCGCAGGAGGCTGATTGGAAAACTCAGGAGTTGTCTGAATAGGTCTCTTGCCAGACAAGGAATTCACTCTTGGAGAAGCCTGTAGGTTGGCCCTCTGTGGCCTAAGCCTCTTAGAGGCAACCCACTCTGAAGGGAAGCACTCAGTTTGGCTGCAGAGGTCTCTGGTGCTGTCCAAGAGGGGCTTTGCCTGTGTGGCCACCACCCAGTGTCCTTTGATGTCTTAAAAGTACAGGGTTTTTTGTTTGTTTGTTTGGTTGGTTGGTTGGTTAGTTGGTTGGTTTTTGGACAGGTAAATCCCAGAAAACCAAGTCAGGCAGAGAAGTGGTAGAACACTTTATTCTTGAATGTCTCCCCCAAAGGAAGCACAATACAGAAGCTAAGTCGTCCCCTGTGAAGGGAAAAACCAACAGTCAGAGCTCACTTCTGGCAGGCAGAGAAGCCAGGAGTACACATTTACAGTGTGGATAGACTAGACTGCTACAGGGACCAGGCCTTTGTCTTGTTCAAGAGCCACAAAACAATTCTGACTTCTGCCATGCTCTCCCTCTCCCAGCTAAGGAGAGCATTCATCCCTTGTTTTGGTCCAGGGAACTGAACACAGGTGAGTTCAGCCTCCTGATCCCTTCCCCCTAACTTGTTCATGAGAGACCTTGCAGCTCATCTCCATCTTGCCCTTGTCAAGACAAGGAGCTAAGTGGGCCCCCCTCCAGTTGCTCATTACAGAGCCAGAGGCCACAGCATGGGCAGGAGGCCTGGGCATCAGCACAGCACCCTTCCTCTGGGATACGCCTACCAACACCACATTGTTTGGGCAGCTCCATGAGTAAGAATCCCTTTCATCAACACGGAGGTTAGAAGTGAAAAGCAAGAGAGAGAGAGAGGTTCTCAATTGTGTATTGGCCCCCAGTAAGAATGGATGAACCGTGGAAGCCAAGGTTGACATTGAGTTACAATTTCCCACCAGGTGGTCTCCAGGGAGGTATCCAGGAGCCTTTGTCTTTCCCCCTAGATTTGAGGCTCTCTTTTGCAAGCTGCCTATAATTGTGTTTTCCTAACCATTGCTGGGCAGGTCTGATAGTGGTTGCTGCAGCGGCTCCCTGGCTACCCAGGACCTCACTCACATGCTGCAGCACTTTACGAGGAAGCTTCTCAGAATGAGCAATCCACTCTTTCATTAAGTCCAGGACTAAAGGGATAAGACTGACCACGCCTCCGTAGTGGTTCCTGGCTTCATCACAGCTGAGGTGGTTCACTACATCATGCGGGTACCTGCAGGATAGTGAGCAGGTGGTGAGACCTACCTCATGGACAGCAGGTCACCCTGGGAGGTGTGAGAACTAGACACACATAACCTCAGGCTCCATCCCTATGTGTTCTGATTGAGAAGGTTCAAGGCCAAGAGCCCCAGGTACGTCTGGTGTAGGTAGCAAGAGTTCTCGACCACCAGGACTAGGGGCCGAAGAACCTCCTATCACCTTTGTAAAATAGTAGCTACCTACAACCCTTCTCGCCCTCATCTAGACTCCTAGAAATGGATTATGGAGCTTTAGATTCTTTGGGGTCACCATGGAACTTCAGGGGATATAACTCAGGTGTCCCACTTCTGTAGCCACTTTCTCCTAGTCTGGTTCTAAGTCCTAGGAGACATTTTTTAGTTCTATGTCTGACCCAGTTTTAGATCAGGTTAATTAGGTCAGTCATTCTAGGTGGTAGTTGGGGGCTAGGACTTATATAGACTAGAGGCTATGACCTGTGCCAGCAGGGGAGAGCCGGCTCACAGGTTCCTGTCCTCTCAACACTCTGACCCATGTACACCCATGAGGGACTTACTTTGCTCTGAGGCTGCTCAGGTCATTGCTTTGGCTAACCAGAGTCTTGCATTTCTCGAGAAGGTTGTTGGTGACGGGGGTGCCGGAGTGCAGGGCCTCAAAGTGCTGGCAGAGTTTGTTGAGCTCTGAGCAGATGTCCAGGAACATGAACAGAATTCTCCGGTCCGTAGAGTTGTTGCAATAGTGTTCCATGTAGCTCTGCACCTGCAGGGGCCAGCGTGTCAGGAGCTGGGTCTGGAGAGACGGGGGGGGGGGGGGGGGGGGGGCACTGCCCCAGGCCTCCCTCCATCACAAGCTTGTTGGCAGACATGGAGCATTTGAATATACGGATCATGACATACAGCTAATGTTTGTGTTCCAAGCACCATTGCAATTTGCAAAAATACTTTCCTAAGTCTGGTCTCCCTCCCTCATCATCTAAGCTCTCCACACTAGGTCTCGGCCTTTTTGAGTTCTCATTTTACATACTCCCTAAATGCTAGAGGTTCAGACATGAGAAATGACCTGCTTGGGTGCCAACACAAGTGGCCTGACTGATTGGCCTCTTCACACAGTGGCCTGGTCTCCACCACCCTGCTTATCCAAACCACTGAGGAAGAAACAAGGATCCTTCAGGCTGGTTGTACTGCACTTTGGAGTTAGAAAAAGTCCGCTACAGGCCTGACTGTGGCATGACTGTCTGCATGAGGACAGTGCAGTGTGATACCCCAACCTGGATTGGGAGGCCATCCCAGTGTGTGGGTGGGTGGGGCAAGTTCATATCAGACTTCCTATACTGAGTAAACTTTAAACCTCCCTGTAACTGCATTAACCTGCTGAGAACACCAATTCTCTGTTCTGCTTCCCAAGGCTTCCTTGGGTAGGGGTAGGGAACCCCTCTATGGGTCTTTTGCCAGTTACTTGGCACTTTGCATCTAAGCACAGGCAAGGTGAGATGGCTGGCCTGACGCTAAGAAGAACTGCCTCAGCTACAGGACTGAGTAATGGATTCAGTCATTTCACAGCCAGCAGCTGCTACTCTCCATGGAATGATGAAAGGAGGGCACCTCTGCTTCCTCCAATACTCCAAACTGTCTCTGTCTAGACAGGGCTACCCTGTTTCTTAGTGATCTGAAGAGATTCCTCCCTTGCCTGTAAGGGAGAGGCTTCCGACAACATACCTGTCCAGGTACCTGGGGTGGGGACTGCATCAAGGTGTGGCCACAACAGAGTGGCCTCCTTGGATGTGTGAGGGGGGCTTTGAGGGTAGACAGATCTGAGAGCATCTCTTCTGAACCTAAGGTGGGAAGCCCTATCAAGCAGGTGCTTAGGAAGTGGGACTATTAGAGACTGAAAACCTGTCCCATGCCCTTGGAAGGCTGAGCTGCTGGGGGAGTGTAACTAGCTGCCCTTCCAGTAGTTCAGGGGCATGAACATGGACCAGTGGACCACTATGATAGATGGGTGGGTGTGGATGCAGGTTGCATGGTGCATTTTCTTCATGTGGTCAGCATTTTTTCAAGTGAAAACCACAAATTTTCACAAAATTTAGAAAAAGCAATTTACCGGATGCCTCTGGTAAAGGTTGCTCATTTTCTGTGGTCTCGTTTCTCCCGGGTACTTTGAGCCTGGACCATGCCCACCCCCAGGACCTTTAACGGGCATCCCTCAGTGGGGCTTGACTTCTTTGCAGCAGCTTCTTTCTTAGTTCTAGGATCCACTTGTGTATATGTTCCTAGCTGCCCAGTGGCCAGGGCCCCTAACTTTCTGGAAGGCCTCCAGCCCCCACTGAGTAAACTTGAACAATAGCTCACCTTTAAAGAAACAGGTTAAATAAAAGTATCTGCGAAGCCCCCATCAGTGAGCTGGGCCAGGCGCCAGTGTGTGGCAGAACCTTTTGAGAAGGACCATTATCGACCTGCTCACCAACAAATCCCCAGAGCTCAGCCTAGGTCTCACAGGTGACACTATACACTTGAGTGCTTAGTGTGGGCCAAGAGTTTTCCATGGATGCTTTCATTAGATGTGCCTTCCAGGTGGGGAAACTGAGGTTAGTGAGATATGCTCACCAGCCCAAGGCTACAGGGTGGCAGATGGACTTAAGGCCAGGCTGGCTGAGTCTTGAGCCCATATTTTAGCCACCACTACATATCTGTAGGTGCCGATGACTGAGGGACTGTTTTCCATCAGTTAGAATCTGAGTTGGCACAGAAACTAGCCAACCCGCCATTCTCGTCTCTAGGGCCCCACTGCTCCATGGTTTGGGTGAGGGGGCTGGGCTGGGCAGAACACCCTACCCCGCCCTGCACCACCGCCCTGCTTGCCAGGCATCACCTGTCCAATGCTGGAGATGGGCCGGATTTTGTCATGAGCGTTCTCCCGGCAGTGCTCTAGCGCTGCGATGAAGGTGAACTGTTGCTGCTGGAAGAGCTTGTACTTCTGCTCGATGCTGCGGAGGGTCTCTTTCACCTCGTTCATTGTCGTCCTTGGGTCTCACAGGACAGGGAGGGTCTATTGGGAGGAAGAAGAGAACCCTGAAGCCCCAGGGATCAGAATCTCCATCCAGCTTTGGAGGGAAGCGCCCTCCCGAAAGAATGTGCCCCTACTTTGTGGGAAAGGAAGCAGGTCCTGGAAGCCGCATGCTTGTTCTAGGTCCTTCAAGTTGTCCACCACTGCACCAAGTCTGGCCTTGTCTATTTACCCTTCCAGGACACAGTCTGCCATGAGCTGTGGCTTCCTTCACCTAGGGACAGTTTCTCTGGTCCTCAGTGTCTCCAGATCATAGGGTCTATCCTCATACATGTGCACACTGTCTCAAGTGTATGTGCACACACAGCATCCGGGACCTCTTCTGTGGCAGAACCTGGGATTCAGGGACATGACAGGACCCCAAACCAGCAATATATCAGTTTAAAAAAAAAATGTCGAGGCAGAGGCAGGTGGATCTTTGTGAGTTCGAGGCCAACCTGGTCTACAGAGCAAGATCCAGGAAAAGGCGCAAAGCTACACAGAGAAACCCTGTCTCAAAAAACCAAAAAAAAAAAAAAAAAAAAAAAAAAAAAAAAAAAAAATGTCTACCACAGTGAAGTTGGTGAGAGTCTGGGAATTCTTCCTGTGAGCTTACCAGGGAAAGAGTCAGTGCTTGGGTGTTCTGTGTGACTTGTCTGTCTCTGTGGCTTGGGGCAGGAGCCATAGCCTCAGGTTTGCAGGTTTCCAGGGCAGGTATAGGTGCAGACCCCCTCCCCTGTCTTATGTTAATTACCACATTATCTGATTAGTAAAGCCATCTGCAGGGAGTGCAGCCCGGGGGCCATCATTGATGTGATGGTGGCTGTCCTCAAGCACTGAGAATCCTCCATGAGTGGAGAGGGCAGCGGGTGCCCTATTCCATGCTGTCACAGTTTACCAAACCGACCTTGGGCAAAATGCTTATAATCTTTAGGGAATGTCAGAGCTAGAAGGGACCTCAGCAGCCCAGACCCTGTAATGTCCAGGGGGTATATGGAGACCTGGAGATAAGGAAGTCCCAGTGAATGTGTGCCACAGACCCCTGGGTCCCAGGCTTCCTGATGCCTGAACACATCCTCACTGCCCCACATCCCTCTGCCTCTCCCCCAGTGCACACAGAGCCCAGGTTCCAGCATGCCAGCCTGTGTCACTGAGCCAAGGCCATTCCAAGATGCTGGAAGCAGAGGGGGCACACACACAAGGTCAAGTGTAAGGAAGGCAGCTTCCTAGTGAGGACAGGGTGGAGCTGGGAAGGCAGCTCTGTGGTCAAATCAATGGCAGTAGTGGGGTGTAAGAATTGACAACAGACCAGAGTACGGCCCCTAGGGATGCTGGCCTGCAAATCAGAGAGCTCGGGATGACTGCAGGGAGTCCCAGGGTTGTCCCGAAGTCAACCCCATTAACCCGAGCGGGTGCCTTGTGCAAATTCAATAGAGCATGCACTGTGTCTGCTGACAGCTGGGAGTAGCTGTAGCCCTGGGTGGCCTGGTGCAGATCAGCCCCCTGGAGGCAGGGCAGCCCCTTGCTCCCTCCAGGCCTTCCTGAACTCAGCCTTCTGCCTGCTGCGAGATTATTGTTTATCGGGCATCTGCCATGTCCTCGGCCTCTTCCCCATGGGGCAGAATAGCTCACTTGGGCATAGGGGGTTTTCTCTTGTCCCTCCCCAGAATTCTGACTCACCGGGGAGGGTTGAAGGTGACGGGGAAAAGACCAACTTTAAGGACGGGAGTGCCAAAAAACTCAGCATCCATTCAAGAGAGAAAAGAAATACTTAAAAAGAAAGTTCCCAAGAATAAAAGAACAAAATTTTAGAGAAATCTGTGCCTTTCCCCTACCAGAGCCTGTGGTAAAAAGAAAAATCTGTAATAATAAGCCTGTCTTTATGAAGTGTTGATAGTTTATTCTAAATGGATTTTTGCCATTGGTTTTGAATTTTGAAGATCATGGCATTAACGTATCTATCTTGACTGTTGAGATTCAGGGCCCCTAGCGTTCCATTCACAGATGAGTGTCCCATCCTGCTCCAGCTCGGAGCTTACAAATGACTCAAGTTATAACCTAGGAAAGTCAGAGAGACCTGGTGGTGGGTGTCCAGGGAGACGGAGAGTGTGTCTCGTTAGCCTGCTGTCTGCCCATGCTGCTCAGTGCTGTGGTTGGCAAGAGTCAAGGCTGTTCTGCAACCACCGGTCCTGGGTTCAGATCCCGTTCCACCCTGACTACCGACCTCAGGTGACAATAGTCTCTGAGCTTGTGCCCTAACATACAGGAGAGAGCAGCAGCCACCCAGCCTTGGGGTTGGCACGTCCTGAGATGACAGGTATAAGGAAAGTGGGGACCTTAGAGCTACCGTGATTACCCAGCATGCAGGTGATGGGGGACTGCCACAACAGGTGTGGTGAGTATCTAAAGGGAAGTGAGGGCTACTGGGAGCTTATCTTTCTTGGTGGAGGGGTTAAACTCTAAGCTTGAAAAGAAGGGGTATAGGTGGGCAGTGTACTCGGCTAAGGGGCAAGGATGTAAGACAGGGCTAGGCCAAGGGGCCCCCAGGTCAAGGTGGATATTCAAAACTGCTGAAGGCATCTAAGCTGGAGGGTGGGATGAACACCACATTTGGTCCTTCCGTCCCTGTGCCAGATACAGTCTAGTGCTGGGGTCTACAGTAATGGACATGGTATTTGAGGCCCTGCCCTGGATGAACTCTGCTGGAGAGGGAAGAGGTCAGGAGAGAGCTCAGAGTGTAGCAGGGTGGACACGTGGAAGCCAGGGCCGTGCGGTCTGCCAGGCACTGGTCTGATATGAGAACAGCCTCTCACTCAACAGTGTTCTAGGGAAGCCCTGGGCATGCGTCATCTCAATCCCTGGCCACAGTTTAGGACAAGGGACCACAATTATCACATAGGATGGTCAGAGGATGAAACTGAAACCACACAGGAAGAGGGCAAGCCAGGATCTGTCACATCCTGGCTTGACTTCTCAGTCTGGCTCTTCCATTAGACCCTCCCTCTCTTATGTTCTCTAGAGACAAGATGGCAGGCATCGGGTTGGCTGTGGCTGCTGGGGAACAGGTGGGATCTGAAAAGTTACCCAACCACTTCTAGGGGCCCCCACTAGCTAGACTCTGGGTCTCACTTCCACCCCTATCCCAGAGCAATCATGGGGCTATCTCCTGTGTGTTCAGCTCCCCCGCCGCTCTCTCTGGGCATCTGGGTTCTCCAAGGAGACGGTGCTAACTGGCTCGCTGTGGCCCCATGAGCCCCCTAGAGCAAACCTGGCTCAGTTCTTGATCCTAGCAACTTGTGACACACATGCGTCAGGGATGTCACAAAAGGGGCTGTAACAAGCTATCCAAAGCGATTGTCCCTTGAACACAAGCCTCTGCAGCCAAATTAGAGTGGATGAAAAACCTGAATGCAGGCGCTTCTCTCTCTGGGGGGAGGAGGGAGGAAAAAGTGATTACCCCATAGGTTTTAGGCTTTAATTGATTTGTATTTTTCCAGGCTGCTAAAGAAGATTAGATCATGGTATGAAAAGTGCCTAGGGCTGAAAATAAATGAGGAGAAACGAAACCACTTCAGAAATGTCCAGGAGGCACACTGAACCTCCCCAGTGCAAGCTGCAGCTTGGCTCCTGTATTCTTTGTCAAGGAGGCAGCTTCTTTGCTCCCCAGCTGACAAGTCTACCAATGCCTAAGGCCTCTGAGGAAGCAATCATGGGGACAGAGGGCAAGTGTCATAATCCCAGGCCAAGACGCCTGCTGCCAGCCTTAGGGCTGCCTCTGATTTCAGCCACGGCCCTCGGCAAGACTTTTCCCCTTTGCTAGGTCTCAGTCTCTGTTTCTGCCCAAGGAGTGAGTTTGGATCAAAACTCTTCAGGCTATTGAAACTCTGTTCTCTGCCCAGCAGCTGGTGAGAAAAGAGATCTGGAAAGAGGAAACGACTTGCCCAAAGTCACCCAGTTAACTCCTCTGCCCTGTCTAATTCTTCAGATTCTCTGTATTCTGAGAAGAAAGGTTCTCATTTGACTATGCCTGGTACTGCGGCCTCAGGAACCTCTGCAAGCAAACCTGTTATTGACCTATATAAACAGATGAACTACAGGCGTTGGAGATGGCTCAGTTGTTAAGAGCACTTGCTGCTCTTCCAGAGGACCTGAGTTTAGTTCCCAGCACCCAGATCTATTGGCTCACTGCCTATAATTCCAGCTCTAGGGATCCAAACACCCTTTTCTGGCCTCTGCTCTTCCTCTGTCCTACCTTATACACATAAATAAAAATAAAACTTGTAGCCAGGTAGCCAGGTGATGGTGGTGCAGGCCTTTAATCCCAGCACTCGGGAGGCAGAGCCAGGCAGATCTCTATGAGTTCGAGGCCAGCCTGGTCTACAGAGTGAGATCCAGGATAGGCACCAAAACTACACAGAGAAACCCTGTCTTGAAAAACCAAAAAACAAAACAAAAAAACTTTGAAGAGGAGGGCTAACTGCTGTCCAAAGTGAATGAGGTGAGATTAAGATTAATCTAAAGATTAAATGGATACCACTATGGACAGTGGCCCACAGTTCCCACTTTCCACGGGCCAATCACTGCCTAATACTTCAGAGAAGTCGTGGGAGCAATGCTTGAGCTGCCCCAGCTGCTCAGTGTGGAAACTGAGGTCCACAAATTTGTCAAGTTCCCAGTGCACATCCGGAGACACCCAGCACTTGGAATTTGGGCTATCCCTGTAGGCTGTGCCTCCCTCCCTCTTGGTGAGTACTCTGCCACACTTGCCCATTCCAACAGCAGCAGCTCTCCTCCCCTAGGCCAGGACACCTCCGCCTCTTCCCCCACCACTCCCCAAGTGTTTTCGATTCAGCTCTTGGGCGGTGCCCCAGCCCCCTTTACCCTGGTTTGACTCGGACTGGCCTTCGCCTCACAGAGTGCCCAGAAGCTTGGAGTGCCTCCGTGGGTGTGTGGGCCCCGAAGGGCAGGAAGGCCCTCCTCAGGTCTCGGGAAGCGGGAGTGGGCGGGGTCGAGGCCTCAGAGACTTGGCGGTCCTGGCCGATTGTGACCACAGGTGCCATGGCAATCAGGTCACATGGCCCGGCTGCCTAAACCAAGGAGATCCGCCCAGGTTCCGACTGATCCCAGCTGCAGGTGACTTTTGCTCTTGCTGACCTCGGACCCACATCTGTTTAGCGTCGTTCCTTTAAAGATGGGGAAACTGAGGTCCGTGGAGCAGAGTCAAGGTTGAAACCTAAGCTTCCATTATCACACGATGGCTGCACCAGAAGCAGGTTTCTGGGATCCAATCTCCCACCGGAGGGCCTGGGGATCCAGAGCTATGGACCCTGGGGGCATCCCGAGGTGCTTGCGCTGTGACCCCCACGGGCATCCTGGAGTCCTTGCGCTGTGGCCCCTCGGGATGTCCTGGGGTTTTGCGCTGAGGCCCATCGGGGGTCCCCATGACCTGGGGAGTGAGAGCCTACTGCGATCCTTTCCGAGATGGATGGAACGGTGGAACCAGGACTTGCCCCAGCGGAGGCGCGCACCGATGACGCACAGCCTGGCGTCCTAGCAACGCGGTTACTAGGGAACGGCAAGCAGTCCGAGACATGGACGTGACTACTGCCCCGCACCTCATCCCCCCGGAAATGCCTCAGTACGGGGAGGACAACCATATCTTCGAAATGATGCAGGTGTGACCAGGTGGCCGGGCGCCCGAGGGTGGGAGTGAGGCACAAGACCGCAGGAGCCAGGCTGGCAGCACGGTCTGGGGGGTAGTCCCTCTTCTCAGTTTCCCCACCAGTGAAATCCCGCGGTAGTCTCCAAGGCCTCGTCTGGAATTGTGGTGGCCGAGCCTTGGGTCTTACCTAAGCTGGGCCCTTGCAGCCCTAACAAGGTAGGATCAGCCACCTGACTTCAATAGACCAGTTCAGGAGACAAGCACAGTGAAAACCAAAAAGATTTGTTCCATATGACCAGATTGGGAAGAGGAACACATAAAAGTCTGGTGATCCCCCCACCCCCAGATCCAGTTTTGGGGTCCAAACATGAGGTTTGGATTTAGAGGGCAAGAGATGCGCATAACTAAGCAGGCCCAGTCAAGTGTGGTCCTTCCCATTTACTGACCCGCCTTTGTCTTGGCTCCATTCTCCCTTGCAAGTTGGTCTGACAAGTTGTAAGAACTCTGAGGAAGCTCCTTTGTCTGGCACCAAGCTTCAGCCTGTTCCTTCGCCCAGCATGAGGTTCTGTGGGAAACTTCAAAGTCTCAGTGTCCATTGTCTCAGCTGTCAGTCAAGGGGAGGAGACGCGGGTTTTACCTCACTAGAATGTCTTCATTCCTGTTGGGACCAAGTTCAAGATGACCTCCCTAACCGGGTGGCTTCTTCTAAGGCGGTGTATTTTCTACTTAGCCTCCATCTTCAGAACTGGCCTTTCCAAAGCCCTCAGCCCTCATCCTGGCTCCCAGCCTGTCCTGGTTCCCAGCCCCCTGTGGCCTTAGGCAAAGCCTGTCCCCAGCTCTGTGGTCCAGTCTTCCACTCGTACTCCCCACAGGTACAAAAGGCTGTTAGCAGCTGGACTGATAAGCTCTTAGCCACTCAATGATTCTGGGGGCCAAGGGTAAACTAGGGCTCAGTTTCCAGTACCCTATTCTGCCATTTAATGTATTGAAGCCCCCCAAAACAGAACCATGGTGATTCATGAGCCCAGGCCAAGGAACCTGAGTTTCCAGCAAACATGCTTCCTTTGGAAAGTGGTAGTGGTAGGGGGAGAAAAGAGTGGCCAGTCACAAATAAACCAGCTAAGTTGGGGGACAGGGAGGAGGGGATTGGTGATCCTGGCCTGTTTTCTAGCTGGGTTGATGGAGCAATCACCAAGAAAGCTTTAAGCTCATTTGGGTAGTGTCTCTACTGTTTTGATCATTTCCTTAAAAACCAGAAACACAAAAGCATTTTATTTTCAAATAATGTTAGGCTTAGGAAGTTATAAAATTGGTATTTTTTTTAAGATTTATTTATTTACTATGTATACAGCATGTATGACTGCAGGCCAGAAGAGGGCACCAGATGTCATTACAGATGGTTGTGAGCCACCATGTGGTTGCTGGGAATTGAACTCAGGACCTCTGGAAGATCAGTGCTCTTGACCTCTGAGCCATCTCTCCAGCCCAAAAATTGTATTCTCCAATGTCTACCCTTGAGCCTTCTAACATGGGTATTGTCAAAGCCGTGAGACAGAAGTAGGCCCTGGATCCTGTTCCCTTTCACCTGCCCTTGGATTTCTGTGGTAGCATGTATGACTGTGAAATTTCATCAGATGTCTGTGAATCTTATGGGATTCACAGATCCACTGCTGTTCACCCACATTGACACCATTCCCAGAATTCAGTTCACTGTCACAGACTTGGCTTCTTTTTCTCTTGTCCTGAGACATACTCTTGGCGTTACCAACCCAGAGCATGTATTTTTGGGTTGCGCTGTCTATTGCAACATCTTAGCCAAGACACATGCAGCAACATACCCGAGCACAGAGTGAGCCCAGCTGTGCCACTGAACATAGGTAGGAGGTGGGGGAAGGAGAGCCGAGGCCCCAAGAAGGGAAGGGACGTGCTGGTGAGGTCCAGAGTGCACTGGACCAGGACTTCCCACTGGTGCTTTTGACTGACCTGCATGCTTTCTGTCCTCATAGGCCGAAGCCCCTTCCTACCCGCCCTGCAGCCTAGCTCCTGTCAGCTCTCCAGTTCCCCGGTGTGACACCCTGAAAATGGTTTCCCTTGATGTGTTGCTCAGTTGGGCTAAACAGCCAGAGTTCTCAAGACTTTAGATATTTGGCCGAGGAGTATTCTGTCCCACAATGGAGAGTCCCGGGCAGCAGGAGTGGCTTCGGCCCGCAGCTAACATCTGCGTGGGTACCTGCTGTAATTGTGCAGACAGAGAGGACCACAGAACCCATGGAGGGGTAGCGCAGGGATGAGGCGAGGCAGGGAACACAGGTTCACATGGCAGGCTTGTGCAGGAGTGTAGGGCAGCAGGGATTTACCTGGGTACACTGAGATCTGATGACCGAGTAGCCAGATCAAGGATCAGGAAACAGTCTATGTGGAAAGCCAGCATTCACTAAGGCCCTGCAACAGGGCAACAGTGCACAGTGCAGGACCAAGGGGAGGCTTGTGTGGCAAGCACAAAGGGAGAAAGGGGGGGATGCTGGCTGCTCAGACTTCCTCAGGCCTCTGCCGCCAGTGACCCCAGTAGATGCCCCAACAGTGATCTCCATGGCAACCAAGGGCCCTGCAGGTGTTAATCTCCTGATATCTGCTTGTGCTCACAGAACATGCTGGAGCAGCTCCTGATCCACCAGCCAGCAGACCCCATCCCCTTCATGATCAGTCACCTGCGCAGGAACAATGACAATGGTGAGCACTCCCTCCAACGTGTGGTAGCTGCCGCCGCCATCTCCTCCAGGGACCCTACCCATCCTGGCCGCAGCCCAGAAGCCCTCTCTTCCTATCTGTGTCTGAAGGGAGATCAGAATAGGACAGGGAGGGGAGGTACTTGGACAAGTTGCAGCAGTTAATTGGAGAATGCCTTCTTTTTCTTTTTGAGCCTAACTAATAAAAATTCTCTTGCCAAGCTATTAAAATGCAAACCCCAGAATGGCCCATGTAATCAATTATTAATGCTTCCGCCTGCCCTCGCTGATGTTGCCTGTTGGGTTTAAACTCTCTGATCACTCCACTTGTCAGGTGAAGTTTGGTTTCTGGTCTACCTAGACAGGCGAGCACTTGGACTTTTTTTCCAAGGGTCTCATTATCAGTACCTGCTAATGAGTGCTGAACTCCCCAGACCTCAGCCAGAGGCAGCTTGGTCAGACCCCAGGCTCAAGTGCAGAGCTGGGAAGAGAATGGCCCTCCAGTAAGCAGGGGCCCTTCCTGCATCCCAGGGTGGTAGATTTGCCAAGCCGAGGGAGGACTCTTCTGATGTCTTGGTTGGTTTGTTGATTTTCCCACTGGTCCATTAGCAGTTCTGAGGGAGCTTTATCTTACCAGTAAAGTTAGCATTCAGGGCTTGAGATGCCCCATGGTGGGATTGGGCTGCCTACAGTCTGAAATGATGCAAAATTTTCAAATAAAAGTTAGGTTTAGGTTTGAGCTGGGTATGGTGGCTCACACCTTTAATCCCAACACTCATGAGGCAGAAGCAGACAGATTCCTGAGTTTGAAGCTAGCCTGGTCTACATAGTGAGTTCCAGGACAGCCAGGGATATACAGAGAAGCCCTGTCTTGGAAAAAAAATAGGATATCTCTTTTGTCATGGTGTCTTATCATTCAGCAACAGAAATAAAACTAGAACAATTTTTTAAAAAAAGTTTTAAAAGGTAGCCAGAGTAGGCTTCAGGCCTGCCGATGCCCCAGCTCACCAGCCTTCCTCACGTGTCCTGCACCTGCACCTTGATGGACGTGAGGGGCCTCTTTTAGCCCAAGTCTAGCATGTGGACCCCAGCAGGGAGCTCAAAGGGAACCCTAACAGTGTCCTTTTCTGAGGTTCTTCCAAGGCATGAATGGCTGACTCTGGGTACCCCAGCACTCAGTTGAGGTTGAGACCATAGACGGGGTGGAAATTGAGTTGTGATGGGGTGGGGGTGTCAGAGAACACTGTCCCTTAGAATTCCACCTGCTTCTTCCAGCCTTGCCTACCCTGCCCCTGGCAATTCTTTCTGACCCTCCCTGGTTGGCTGATTGCTGTGCTGTGCTGGGGGGAGGTTCTGCATTGGCCTGTCTGCTGTTGCTGTAAATGTCCTGTCTGGGTGGGTGTGCCTCTTGGAGGATTTTTTTTTTTTAGGTTTATTTTCATTTTTTGTGTAAGAGTGGCCTGCATGTGTGTGTGCACCATGTGCATGCAGTACCCACAGAGACCAGAAGAGGGCAATGAATCCCCAAGATCTGGAATTACAGATGGTTGTGAGCCACCATGTGGGTGCTGGAAACTGAACCCAGGTCCTCTGCAAAAACAGCCAGTGCTCTTAGTGACTGAGCTCTCTCCCCATACCCCTACTATGGAGGAAATTTTTTGAGCTAATAACCTTCAGGCTTCCGTAAACCTCAGGCCTGGAGTGAGAGTTTGGACCTTGGGGCTGCTTCTGCCTTCTCTTCCTGTCTCAGTGCCGCTGTGTGGCTGCAGGTTAGTAGTTCAGCATCAGATGCCCTGAGCCAGCCTTCTCAAGTCCCCATACCATCGTTCTGGGCTGGCTGAGTGTAGCTGATGCCTGCTGGACGGCTGTCTCCTCCCCGTGACAATCCGCTTGTGGCTACCTGCCACACATTTCCAGGGCTGTGACTTTGCAGAGACTGCTCTTTGTGGAGTTTTCTCTTTATTCCACACAGCACCCTCTGCTGCAGGGAGTGGAGTCCAGGCCTGTGTTGGGGACAGGTGTCAATTGCCAGCCTGGACGTTCTTCAGGTACCCAGACTAGGTCCCATAACCATGGCTTTCGTGGCTTAATTATCCCCCCAGGTCTCCATCCTGTTCTCAGGCCTTGGTGAACATTTGTAGGACATCTATGTCTTGGATAGGGACGTTCATAGGCTTTCATTCCCAGAAAAGCAAGGCTAACATGGGTGGAGGGAGGCCACCTTCCTGTAGTGATTTTTCTAGGGTGTCTAAGACAAGACACATAGGATCAGCTTGAGCCACGCCCCTCTGGAACCTAGCAGGGTCCCAAAACATCCAACCTGCATTTCCCTCACTCCTCTGGGCAGTAGTAAGAGTTGCTTGCCTCCTAGCCACCAGAGCCAGGAGCACAACCTTCCTGCTTACTGGCGGGAGGACAAACCTGGGCACACGGAACCCTGGCCAGTGACTGACATAGGAAGAGGAACTCACCCCAGCCTGTGGGCATGCACAGGAGGGAGGGCAGGAGCCCCGCACTAGGGCTAGCAGCCCCTTTGCCTCGAGAAAAGCGTTTAGTACAAAGTGAGCGTTTACAGTGGCCCTGGGCAATATTAGCACAGGCGGTGGTGGATATAATGGAGCGTTTCGCTTCTTATCAAACACTTGTCCAGGAAAGCCTTGTATTAGAGTTCTGATACCTGAGGGGTTCCTTGTGAATTTTAAATCATGTTCCTAGTTAAGCCTCAAAAGGCTCCATGGATGGAAAGGTTCTTTGATTTTCTTTGAAGTGGTTAGAGGAGTTTGATTACTCTTGGCAGTCAAGCAGCCTTTTATGACACTGTTTATAAATAATTACTCATGAGCTAGGCTGGAGTTTCAAGGTGTTAGATTTTAAGAAACTGAAATTAGTCACATAAGTGAGTACGAGAAATTGGGAGGGGAGAAGGGCCACGATGTTCCTCTTTAAAGTATTTTCTTAGGCGTGTACAATTTGGGTGCCACTTAGAGGAGCTGGGAACGGAGAGGAGGAACATTCCCTGTAGCCCCTGCCTATGGCCCTTGCCAAGATGAGCATACTAGCCAGGAGTTGGACTTAATCGCTGGATGTCCTGGTTACATGCTCAATGCGAGATGCATCTACCTTCTTCTCCAGCACTATCCCTGAACCCTGATGGGTCTGGCTGGTGGCATTCCAAGGAATGGGCAAAGCCCATGCTTAGAGCAATGGGCACCAGAGTAGGCTCGCGAGAAGCCTCCAGTGTCCTGACTTTGGCTGAGCAGGCCTTCTCTCGATAGGCATAGTAGTTTCCCTGATTCCTGCTCCTCCCTGCCTTTGGACACCCTCCCTGCTGTCCTCCAAACTCTAGACTGAACTCCGGCTCCAGTCTCACCTTCCCCTTCACTGGATCAAATGTCCACAAAGCCATCTCATTTCCATACTTGGGCTGCAAATGCTACCTGCTATGATATCTCTCACTCAGATGGAGGCCCGGAGAGGCCTTGCACTGGCCTGTCAGAGTAGGAATGGATCCCTTGCGTCCTGTCCTGAGCCCTGAGTCCTCTTTGGCATCTCTGATGCTGAAAAATGCCCTCAGCATCTACAACAGCCTTGCCGTGTGCTGCGCCTGCGCCCCCACCCATTGCAGCCCCATGAACCACAGAGCGTCAAGGACAAAGGCTGGGGTGTCAGTGCCTAGAACAGCAGTGTTCTTCCCCCAGACCATTTTGCAGCCTTGCTTGGGGTATTCTTTCTGGTGGGGTAGCCCTGGCAGGGCTCCCCAGCTTTGTGGGATTCTGTGACCCTCTATCCTTTTACTAGAACCGGTCTCGACTTGACCACCCATGAGTCCTTAGCAGTTCCCCACAATGTTGCCCGGCAAAGGGGAGCCTTTTGTGGGTGGCAGCAATGGTGACTTTCAATGGTCACATCAAGGGCTGGCAGATAGTTGAGGTGGCCATTGCAGGTTCTGCTGGGTGGGTGGCCCTGCAGTATTAACTTCTGTGGGAAGGTTCATGTGGATAAGACTTTGTACCTTCCCTCAGAGAGCTGGCCATTTGCTGGGACAGCAGTGCCCTAGTTTTTAGGACTGGTAATGAAGCTTACTCCAGTGGAAGGGAAGCTGCAACAGGGAACCTGACCAGCCCCACAGTGGAACCAGGGTGTAGTCTCAAGCAGGAAGAGGCAGTAGGGCCCAGAGTATCCCCTGCTGGGTGGAGGCAAGGACATCCTTGACAGGGAATGACAAGTGGTAAGTGAACATATGTTAGCATCATCTGGGAAGAAAGGGGCTGCCCCAGGCCTCTCAGCTCAAAGGAGGGGATCATATGGGACCCCCAAGGGATTCTCTGAGACCCAGGGCTATTAGGAAAAGCAGGACACATCCCAGCCTTTTGAAAGCAATGCCCCTGCAGGCCCAAGGACCTAAAGGATCCTGGCAGCTCAGGCCAGAAGCACTGTGGTACCCAGAGTATATGGCTCACTTTGCTAGCCTGCCTGCTGTGTGGAGCCATGTGGAGCCCTGTCATGTCCCCTATCCCATCCTCCCCTGATGGGGCCTGTGCTACTTGTGAGACTTTCAGAGTTGGGGGAGGGGCATCATCTCACACTCTTCTCCACCCTCACCTCAGAAGTGAGAAGGTACTGGGAATTTGGGCAGAGATCTATTTGAACCCAAACAGCCTAGCAGAGTGTCCACGTGCTGGCCTCTAAACTACTGGCCTGAAGGATACTCTCCGGCTCCATCTCCGTGTCTGTCCAGAGTGGACAGTCATTCATGCCTCACTTCTGCATGGAGAAGAGTCCTTCCAGCTCCACGTAGGTAGGAGAGCCTCAAGAGAGTTGGGGTAGATAGTGTTCGTGTGTCCTAAGGCTCAGGGGAATCACTCTGGACCAGTAAGATGGAGGTGACATCATCAAGAGACTTCCTTGGCAATCATCCGTGGGCTTATGTGTCCCTCTGACCTTGTTGTGCCCCTGTCCCACCCTTTCACTGTGACAGGCTTCTGTCTCCTCCCAATTACCAGCAACTGCTCCATGGTGTCCCAGATGACACTCTCAGGCTTCTGCAGAACCAAGACTTCCAGAGCCAGGGCTCACAGCTACAAATAAGCTGCCAGGGTTTTCAGAAATTTGCATAGAAATGCCTGCATTCGAAAACAGACCTACCTGCCTTGGGTTTTATAAATCTGACCCATACGCCACAGGCTTCTTTCCATTATTTTCTTCTATAAAATGACGGGGGAGGGTACAATTTGCTAAATAAAAAGGCATACATATATATATCTATATATATGCATCAAAGGTCGATTTACATAAAATACAACTTTATTTGAAAGAGTGTTCCCAAGACAAAGTCCCTGTTTAAAATGCTTTATGGCGTTTGAAAATCCCAATTGTTTTTGATATTCATTAGTTTGGCAAACAAGTTACTGTGTCCGTGTCCCCGCGGAGATAGAAAAATAAACCATCTCTGTGATCGCTTACCTCTCTAAACACAGAGAATGCGTTCTGGGGCGCGAGTGTCTCCCAGACTCAGGATTATGAATGGCCGTGTCACTGGCAGAAATGAAATCTGGGGAGAAAAGAAATAGACCCAGCGCAGCGCAGACGTGGGAGGCCACTTTGTCAAGCTCAGTGCTGACATCCAAATCTTTTTCTTCCACAGTGCCGAAGGTGGTGATCTTAGGTCCGCCTGCCTCAGGGAAAACCACCATTGTAAGTACATTATATTAAATGTCATTCTAGAATGTGCCGTCCATGCTCCAGTGGACAGGAGCCTGTGCGTTGGTGAATCGTCCACACACCTGCTCTTTTCCTCTCTTCCTGCCCATTTTTTCCTCATAAATGACAATGTGTGTTCATAGTCAGTGTCTTAGTTAGGGTTTCTATTGCTGTGAAGAGACACCATGACCACAGTAACTCTTATAAGGAAAACATTTAACTGGGGCTAGCTTACAGTTCAGAGGTCAGTCCATTATCTTTATGGCCAGAAGCATGGTGGCATGCAGGCAGACGTGGTGCTGGAGAGGGAGCTGAGAGTTCCACATCTGGATCGGCAGGCAGCAGGAAGAACAAGTGAACCGTTGGGCCTGGCTTGAGCTTCTGAAACCTCAAAGCCTATCCCAATGACACACTTTCCCCAACAAGGCCATGCCTCAAATCACCACAGATGGGAATTCAGAAAATACAAAACCAGTCACAGAGCTCTTCAGGGATGAGTGCTGCCTGAACACTTTGGTCAGTGTCTCAGAGGCACCCTGAGCAGTCCCTCAGCTGTAGCTGGAGAATGCAATTCTAGAAGGACTTCTGGGTCAAACAGCCTGCATATGTTAGAGGCTTTGGTTATGGAGTCTCTGTGGACTGAGAATTAGCTGAAGGGGGAAGAGCAAGGACGCCCTGCCACAAATGCTCACATGTCACTTCTGAGATTTTCCATACACTTAGCATTTTTCCACCCTTCCTCTTTGGTCTCTCCGTGTTAAAGGAAAAGCAAGGTAAAGAGCAGATCAGACCGGGAGCACTTCGGCCTCTCCCTGCCCTGTCTCTTTTCCACAGCAGACACTGGCTGGAGGCTGGTGCCTTCGTCCTATCCAGGACTTTAATCTCTAGGTCCTTGGTTTCACTTCGATTTTCTTTAGAGATTGGGTCTTACCTTGTAGCTTTGGCTGGCCTAGAACTTAAGCTATGGCCCAGGCTGTCCCCAAAGTCACAGTAATCCTCCTCCCTCGGCCTCTCAGTCGCTGTGATTACAGGTGTGGGCTGCCATGTCCAGCTGCAGGTCCAGGCTTTTTTTTTTTTTAACTTTTATTACATTTTATTTATTTTGCCTGTGTGAATGTGCACACATGGGCATTTGTGGGGGGCATACATGGGCCACAGTGGATATATGGAGGTCAGAGGGCAGCTTGTAGGAGTTGATTCTCTCTCTCTATCATGTGGGTCCTTGGGATGGAGCTCAAGTTGTCAAGATTAGTGTCAGGCACTCCAATACACCAAGCTAGTCCCTGGTAGTTGTTAAGTTCCGTAGATGCGCTAGAATTGTGATAATCTGAGATGGGGCCCTTTCTACCTTCTAAGCCCATGTCACAGTAGGATTAGGCTGTCCCTTGCCAAACCAGCACTTCACCTCAAAAAGGAACTAAGATGGCTGATCCTTGCACAACACACCCTGTGCATGCTGCACTGTGAGGCTCAGCGTAGCTGTTGCCATTTGTCTGTCCATCTGTCTGTCTCTCTGTCCTTCTGTGCCTCCATATGTAGTTTTTCTGTTTTATTTTCTTTTCTAGTCAGCCTCCCTGAATCCAGCCCCCGGCCATGATGTTACTTTTAGAGACAGCGGTTTCCCCCACTTGCCGGTTCTTGGTATCACCAGGACTTTGAAAACTCCAGGGTCCTGGAGTCTCCTGCAAATGGGTGTGGTCGCACCTGGGACTGGGCCTGGACCACCAGTGATCTTGATGCTGGGATCCATGGTAATGCCTGCTGGGCTCTCTTACTGAGCTGTGTTCTCAGCAACAGTGCAGCTCTCCTTTAGGTAAATGGCTCCTCTCTGATCCCTAGGAGGGATTTGGTGGGCAGAGCAGGTGTGGAACACAGAGACCTACCTCCACCTCTTCCTCGTGGTCCACAGAGCTCAGAGAGACCCGGGGTGGACGGCCACACAGAGCCAATGGTGGGTGAGGCAGGCGGTTCTCAGGAGGGAGAGGCTAGGAAGTACCTGCTGTGTCCACCCCCTGGGGGCCTCCTCCTGCCACCCAGGAATGATTGTTTTCCCATGGCCAGCCTTTTCTCCACTGCCAACTAAGGTCCAGGCTCCTCAGCCAGCTTTTTCTAACAGAATATAGAAGGATTTGGTGGACTTAATTCTGTTGTTTGTTTTGTTTTTATTTAGACAGGGTCCCTCTATTTGCTCAGTTTGGCCTCAAACTTAACAGTTCTCCTGCCTTAGCTTCCCAAATGCTGGCATTCCAGCCATGTACTACCATACCTAGCCTTGTGTGTGTGTGTGTGTGTGTGTGTGTGTGTGTGTGTGTGCGTGTGCGTGTGTGTGTGTGTGTGTGTGTGTGTGTGTGTGTAGACCAGAGGACATCTTTGAGTTGCACTCATTAACACCATCTGCCTCCTTTGAGACTGGCCTGGAACTTGCTTGTAGTCTAGACTGCCTGGCCAGCAAGCCCCAGGGGTTCTCCTGTCTCCACCTTCACAGCACTGGGGTCACAAGTGTGCCGTCGTGCTAGGATTTGTTCTGTGGGTCCCAGGGGTTGAACTCGGGTCTTTCTCCTTGCGAGGAAAACACTTTACTGACGGAGCCGTCCCCCTCCCCCACAGAGGAGTTATACCTAAGGTGCCTGTTGTGTTCATTTCCGTTTCTTCTTTCCTCTCTTCAGGCAATGTGGCTCTGCAAACATCTGAACAGCAACCTCGTCACCAAGGAGAACTTACTAGAAAGAGAGTTCTCCCCCCTGGCTGAGGAAGCCAAGAAACACTTCCAGACTTACAAGGTAAGGTTGGCCTGGGCCGGGGCCAGGGCCAGAGCAGCTGTGGGAAGGTCTCCACTTTCTACTTGCTCAGCTAGTTTCCATCTTCTTCTTCTTAAAAATAATATATATTTTAGACGATTTCTCCGTGTGTGTGTGTGTGTGTGTGTGTGTGTGTGTGTGTGTGTGTGTGTATGCATGTATGCCATGTGCATGCAGATACCCTCAGAGGCCTACAGAGGTGTCAGATCCCCTGGAGCTGGAGTTAAAAGTGGTTGTGAGCCACCTAATGTGGGTGCTGGGAACCGAACTCAGGTCTTCTGGAAGAGAAGTACCCTTAACCCCTGAGCTGTCTCTCCAGCCCTCCGTTTTCTTTTGAATGGACTGAAAAGCAACGTCTTGGGTAAAATAAGATGCAGGCAGATATGACAGAGGAAAGGGGGAATTTGGAGATCAGGCACTTCCTTGTAGGAAAGTAGATGGAGCAAAGAGCAACGATCTGCCCTGTGTGCGACATAGTGGTCCAGTCCAGTGAAGAAGGGGAAGAGGCATCCCCATTCCCCAGAGAAGGGGACTGGTGGCCACACCTGGGCTGTGGGACTGAGCCGAGCTGTAATCTTAAGGGCTGTCATCAAGCATATCAACCCCATTGCTAGGCTTTGGAAGTGTTTCTTGGACACCGTAGGGTTCCCCATGGCCCCGCGTCCACCCTCGGTACTTCCTACTCATGCGTTCTCCTGGTGCATCCCACAGGATTGGGAATGCTGTTTCCCAGGCCCTACCAGCTTTGTGTTCACCAAATGACCTGCACCCCAGAACTGACAGCCTCTTGAGTGCTGGGATTAACGGCATGCAGCACCATGTCCCATGGGGGTCCCTGCAGGTGCCATACAGGGAAGTGGACCACCAAAGAGATAAAGAATGAAAACCCGGCACGGACTGACTTCGTCAACCTTAACCAGATTTCGGGGAGTCTAATGCTAGTGGTTCACTGTCAGTAGATTTAAAACACAGCACAATTTGGGAAAAGGTTTCCAGGCAACAATCAGTCCAATTCCATGTGCACAACAAAGCTTAAGGTGTGACTACATAGAGACTCTTCTACTGAGTACATGTGACCATGAGGGTGGGTTCCATGGCTGAAAGTCCTAGAATCTATTGTGGTCTCTGACCCATAGCATAGAGGTCAGCAGGCCACAGAGTACATGTGACATCTCCCTAAGGATGGGCAAGGGTTTAGGGAGGGAAGCAATGGGATTAATCCATGGAGTCTCTTTAATGATCAAAGGAATTTATTTGGGGATGAATTCACAACCACAGAAGATTTATCGTAGGGTCTGGGAAAGCTGAGCTATGTCCCATGCTGAATGGCTTGGTCCAAGATCTCAGCATCCAAAACTTGTGGTCAAGGTAGCCAAGAGAGAGGGTGCCTACATCCCAGGTCTTAAGGGTCCCTGGTGGCCATCCCCCAGGGGCGGGTACCTCAAGGAAATAGGCAGGTGTAACAGCTACCTGCTACCTCACTAGGTAGCGGTGCTTCAGGGCATGGCTCAGACAGCCAGGCACTACAAGGAAGAGTCTGGGAGAATCATTCTGGGGAGTTAGGCTGAGGTCTGCCTCCACAGACAGCAAAAAGGTCACCAGGTCATTAACAACCTCCACTCTCGGTTTTCTGGATGGAATGTGAGTATTTGATTTTGTCTCCTCCATTGAGGAGACAGCCCTGTGTGATTAACATTCCCGGTTCTCTTGGTGCTTCTCCGTGAGTACAAGGACCTCTGTGCCCCCAACAATGCCTAGCTGACCAAGTGTCTTCTAAAGTGCAAGATTGTTTTTTGTGTGTTTGGTGAGAGAGAGAGAGAGAGAGAGAGAGAGAGAGAGGAGAGAGGAGAGAGAAAGAGAGAGACAACATTATGGTGCACATTGTGTGTGTGTGTGTGTGTATACATGACAGTGCACATTCGTGTGTGGAGACCAGAGGTTGATGATGAGTGTCTTCCTCGATCACTGTCCGACATGGTCTTTTTTCAGTCAGGTCTCTCACTGAACCTGGAACCCACCTCGGCTGGCTGGCTAGTGACCCAGATCGCTGCCTGTTTTAACCCCTTGTCTTGTGTTTCAGCACACCGTTTCTCTTTAATCAAACAGTAGGGCAAAGAATATTTTTCAAAATTCCCTTTGGGCCAGGGAGTGGGGGTGTGTCTTTTGGCATTCTTCTCTGAGGTCCAGGCTCCTTCCTCCTCCTGTGGAACTCTCACATCTGCTGATACTCAGTGTCTGGGCCACTTTCCGGGTCCCCTCAGCCCCACATCTCAGAGCCTACAGCCACAGCCACAGCCATTCATTTGCCCAGTGCTCTGTCACAGTCAAGGCCCGTTGGCCCTCCTAGTGCATGGGTGCCGGAGCATGGGCGCCATGTACATCAGCCAGCCTGGCCAGCCGGTGTGCTCCCTCACGAGACAGAAACTCAAGCATATCTGACCTTCAAGGCAAACTTGTGAACTTTAGTCATCCACGGTGCCAAAGGGTCCCTTTTTGTCAAGACCAAAGATTAAAGTAGACTGCAGCCAATAAAGACATGGTCAGTGTGGTCATGTGACCCAACCACTGCTGAGCCACAGGCCCAGGCTGGGGGGTGTGCCCAGACTACAGAGTTAAGGTTCATTTGAAGCTTTCCTAAGAGCAGGGCTGTGATGCTGCCAGACACGGGAGACCCTGGAATCAAAGTGTCAGAACACCCCCAAGGGGCAGCACTGTCCCCCGAGACACTGAGGGTTCACACAGCTTTTTGTTTATTCTGAACTATGTATTATGAAGTATGACAAAGATATGCAGGTATTTGAGACCCTTACAGGCCAGGTTCTGGTTTCAGCTGCTCCTATCAGGCCCCAGAGCTTTAGGATTGAACCCTCTGCAGGAAGTATGCAAACTGCCTCCCCCAGGGGTTCCCAGCTCCAGCCGGCCCCAGCAGCACAGTCCCTTTGCACCCTAGGTACCTTGTCAACCACCTGTAGCCTGGCCTTGCCTTGGTGGTCTAGAGCCAGTCCTCAGGGTGGGATCAAGCCACAACATCTAAAGAGAACATCTTGGGGATACTGAGATGAGAGCCCAGCCCCACCCTGCGTGACTCCCCTGTCACTGCAGTTAATTACATCATCATTGATGTGTCTGGGTGTCCTCTGAACCATGCTGCATTGGAGCAGAGCTGCCTGTGTTTGTGGAGTGAATAAGTGACCTGAACTTGGAAAGCTGGCCTCAGGGAGGCCTTCTTAAAGCTGGGTTATTCCTAATTCAGGTCTCCACAGTGTTTACATGTATCTCCCCCTGTATCCCAGGCTGACTGAGTAGCTGAGGATGTTCTTCAACTCCTGATGCTCTGGCATACACTTCCCAAGTGCTAGACTACAGGCATGTGCCACCATGCCCAGTTTTGTGTCTACAGATTTAAAATCTGGTTGCTGGCTTCTGTGCTAGTCTGCTAGCCTCCCACATCCCAGGGCCAACACTGCCCATTCCTCCTCCAGTATCATTGGCTGCCTTGTGGCAGAATCTGCCTCTCATTCCCTCCTTCCTCTTGTCCCCTGTCCCCAACCTCTGCCTCTTCTTCCAGAGTCTTGGGGGCAGTTCCTGCCATCCCTTAATTTTCTGCTAACTTGCAGCAGCTGAGCTTTGCATGGGAAGCTGGAAACTGTTCTTTAAAATGAAAAAAAAACTTTTTACTTTTAAATTATACTTTGTGTGTGTGTGCACGCACTCGTGTGTGCTCATGCAGGCTCCAAGGCACTTGTGGAAGTCAGAGGACAGTTTGAAAGAGTAGATTCTCTTTTCACCAAATAGGTCCCAAGAATTGAACTCAGGTCATCAGGGTTGGTGGCAAGTGCCGTTCCCCACTCAACTACCTCTCTGGACCTGGAAAAGGTTCTCAACCATTCTGACAGAGCTGCTGTCTGTGTGGAAGGCAGACCAGGGACTCTCAGCTTGTCCTTTTCTGCTGTACTGCTAGAGTCTATTCTGTGCATTAAAGTGCCCACCTAGGTGACCCAGGGACATTAGGGTCCCCGAAAGTGGAGCCTGGTGGTAAGTGACCCAAGCTCATGCCATTCCCATGTGAAATGAAGTCCAATCCTGGAAGTTAAGTGGTCCTGGGGGGCAGAACCAGGAACAGCCCATACACCTGGCACCTCCAAGCATCCAATCAGCATGTCCTTCAAGAGAGGAAGGCACATTGGGGTGGCGAGCCAGCCATCCCACCACTGGGCCCCAAAGCTGCAAAACCCAAACTGGCTGGAGTAGATGCAGCCAATGCTGTCCCTAAGCAAACAAGGAAGCAGAGTGGCCCCAGGCGAGTCTGGGCACTCACACCTGTGCCCAGGAGAAGCCACCTGGGCTCCATCTACTTATCTCTGCCTCTCCCCTCAAAGCCAGGCCTGGGGGCTGCAGGGTGGGGATGCATTACCAGGTTCTGGAAGGAGGCGGCCTGACTCCTGCAAAGACAGTCTGGCAGGGCTTGGAGAAGCAGCCCAGAAGCCCTCGTGATGATGTGACACATCAAAGCTGCCATCCAGACAGCACAGTGGCAGGGAACGGCAGGGGGCACTGGGATGGGCCTTGCTCAAAGCCACCACCTAGTCCCTGCTGGGAAGGCTTCCCGAGGCATGCACCCCACCCGGGCCTGCCAACCTTTCAACCATGCGCTTTGACTGCTCTGATTCCGTGCATCTGGGCAGGTGCTTCCTGCGTCCCTGTACTTATCTGAATGCTGTAGGAGTAGATGGCATCAGGGAGAGGGGGTGAGCCCTGGGAACGTGGCCCGGGAATGGAAGCCGCTCTGGCTGGGAGAGGACTGAAGGGAATGAGAAGAGAAGGTGCTACCTATCCACTCCTTCTATACTGCCAACCCTGGGAACTCCACTGGACATTTGGGAGGACGTGGGCACCAGCAAAAAGGCACAACTCGCCGGGCGGTGGTGGCGCACGCCTTTAATCCCAGCACTTGGGAGGCAGAGGCAGGTGGATCTCTGTGAGTTCGAGGCCAGCCTGGTCTCCAAAGCGAGTACCAGGAAAGGCGCAAAGTTACACAGAGAAACCCTGTCTTGAAAAAAAAAAAAACAAACAAAAAAAAAAAAAAAAAAAAAAAGGCACAACTCTGAGGTCACTTTAGGCCAGAGGTTCTCCATGTGAGGCCTCAGTCTAGGAGCAATACCATCACTTGGGAACATGTTGGAAATGCAGGTTCTCAAATTCAGAACTTCTGGGGTGGGTTCCAGGATGTGGCTCTGTTGGTAGAATACTTTTCTAGCAGGCATCAGGCCCTGGATTAGAGCCCCGATAATCCGAGCACATGGGAGGTAGAGGCAGTAGGCTCAGCTGTAAAAGGTCATCCTTGGCTACATAGGAGTTGGAGGAGAGTCTGGGCTACATAAAACCTTGTCTGAAAAAAGCAAGGGCTGTGGGAGCGGGGCGGGGATGGCTAAGTAGGTAAAGTGTTGTACAAGCATGAGGACCTGAGTTTCATCCCCATGGCCTGTGCAAAAAGCCAGGCATGTGTCATGCATGCTTGTAATCCCAGCACTGAGGAGACAGAGACAGGAAGGGTCCTGAGGCTAGCCAGCCAGCCTAACCTAGGTGGAACGTTCCAGGCCAGTGAAAGAAGAAAAAAAAAAAAAGCAAGGTAGATGGCCCCTGAGGTGGAGATACCAGCTGTGGTTATGACTTCATGACTTCGATGTGTCACTGATTCATAAAAGCCAGGCTTCCAGAAATGTAGCCTTGGCTCTATTCTGATGCTAGGGCCGGGGTCTGCTGGTCAACATTCACACTCAGCTGTGTGGGGGCGAGACCTAGGGCCAGGGTCTGCTGGTCAACATTCACACTCAGCTGTGTGGGGACGAGACCTAGGGCCGGGGTCTGCTGGTCAGCATTCACACTCAGCTGTGTGATCATTTGCCCCTGTATTGTGGTGTGAACAATTTCATCAAAGCCAGCTTTGGTCACCAGTATGAAGTCATTGAATGTGCTGTTGGAGAGAGGTGTGCACACACTCTAGCCTCAGCCAACAGGCTCCCCCTCCTACCTTGTGTGGGGTACGAAGACCAAAGACCCAGTTCCTTTCCTTGAGGAATGTCACCACCTCTGGGAATGATAGACACATCCTTGAGCAGCTTGTGTAATGAAAACCTCATTATCTGTACTCATGGGGCATGGGTCAGTGTGAGGTACGCACTCATGAGCCACAGATCCCCTGAGGGTTGGGGAAGCCTGATGCTTGGAGGTAGATATGGAGTTGGGTGGGAAAACATCAGAGAATGTGGAAGGGATGGCATGGGTATACCATTATGGGGCCAATGCTCAGGGGCCCAGTCAAGGGTGCCGCCCGTGTCTGCCCCATTGAGCACCAGGCTGGGTTTTGGGACCTCACACCATGTATCTTTCCTTCAGAGGATTCCCAATTCGTTGCTTGTCGGCCTGGTCCAGGAGCGCCTGAGTGAGGATGACTGCCTCAGGAGGGTAAGACTGCATGGCACTGCATGGCTAGGGGTGGTTACCAGAATACGGGGGGAGGCGTGTGTCCATCTTTGAGGCTACGGAGAAGGTGAAGCTGGCAGCTAGAAGCTGAGCAAAGGCCAGTGTGTGGTCGTGGGCTTCAGAGCAGCTGTGGTAGTTGACAGTTCCGTTGGGGTGCCTATAGGATGGCTAACCCACCCTGAGGGGTCCTAGGAGAGAAACCAGCAAAATGAAATTGCCAAAGTGTATGTGGGAGGGGCTACCGTGAAGTGTCCAAGGTCTTTGACTTTTGATCTTTTAAAATTTTTATTTATTTCTATTTTATGTCTGAGTGTATGTCTGTGCACCACATGCGTGCAGAGCCCATGCAGGCCAGAAGAGGGCATCAGATCCCCTGCAACGAGAGTCACAGGCGGTCTGAGCTGTATGATGGGGTTCTGGGAACTGGACCCTGGTCATTTAGAAGAGCAGGCGGGGCTTTTAACCACCAAGCCATCACTCCAGCCCCAGATTTTATCATTTAAATCTTTCCCTGCACAGTTTCAGAAAACCTGGTCCAGTGTTTGAGAGCCAGTCACAAGTGGGTAAACAGGCCGAGAGTCACACCAAGAGAGGTCAGAGGAAGCCTGGGACAAAAGCGTGTATTGGATAACAGCAACACAGACAGCTCCCTGCCCCACATGCTGGAGGAAGGGTTTTATGCTAAGGCACATAAAGGTGGGTCACAGTGTGCCTGGGCCTATTCACGTGCCCAACATGGGTTGAGAAGCACGTCTGACTCCAGGGGCCATGCGGCACCCTTGCTGTCTGTCTGAAGGACCTGTCCTCTAGGGCTTGCGATGCATCAGGGGGAGCTGATGGCAGAGTGGTAGAAGATGGCCGTACTCACGTCAAGCTGACCCCATGTACACCACATTCTCCTTTCCTGCTGGTGCTCTAGTAACACACCTGTTGTCCACAGGTCCCCAAGGCTCTATTCTGTTCTCATTTCTCTGCTCATCAGATGTGATCATTTATAGCGAACTTCACCAGGCTCCTTAATCCTTTCGGTTTCATCCTCCTCCTGCCTCTGAGACCACCCGGTGTGGTTTCTACTTGGATTATTGCTTTTCTAAGTCCTAAAATTTCACTTGGTTCTTCTTTCTGCCTCCTGTGTCTTTGTCAAGACACTGATCTTTCCATCATTTACTAGATTGGCTTTTTTTTTTTTAAACCATCTGCTTTAGAGTCTTTGTTTTGTGAATGATTCCAACACCTGGGTCACACCATGGCAATGGTATTTTTCTTCCTCCACATGAGTCAGGAGTGGCCTGGATCTCCCTGGGCTGAGTGGGGCTATATCCTGGATGCTGTTCATGTTATGAGACTCTGGGTCCTGTCCTGTGGTGAATGTTGACATTTTTGTCTTGGCAGGTGATTGATTCATTTGGGTTCTAGCATGTTCCAACCCGGTGGCTCTGGGTTTTGGTTTTGATGTAGACCTTGTTTTCAGCTGTTGTGAGGACTGCAGGGCCATGCCATCCATCCCTTGCTGCCTCTGTACCAAATCAAAACCTTCATTTCTCAGCACATTCCTTGGAATACTGTTGGGGAAGGCATGGTAGCAGGATATGAGGTCATCAGTCACGTGGCATCCAAGGCAGGAAGCTGAGAGAGACGGATGCTGGTGCTTGGCTCACTCCTTTTTATTCAGTCTGAGATTCCAGCCCATGGTCAGTGTGAGTCTTCTCACCCTATAGATGCTCAGTTAAGCCTCTATAGATGACCTCCTGGACACCCAGTGATGTGATTCCATGGTGGCTCTAATTCCAGTAAGGCTCACAATACAGGTTAATCATCATTTCTCAAAAAAAAACAAAAAAACATAAGCAAAATAAACCTCATGTTAAAAAAAGTCTTAGAAGTTCCACCACAGCAAAAACTAACTCAGGGAGCTGCCTTCCTAAGCTCCCTCCCTGGTCACTGCCTGTTGTACTCCTCAGCCTTCCAGCCAGAAAGTTGTGATTTACTTCTGGGACTCAGCTTCATGTTTCCTACAACCGTCCCCACATCAGGGCCCTGTAGTAGGAAAACAGAGAAAGGGAGCGTTGGGGCGTTTATTACAGGCTCTTGGGCCCTCTTTCTGAGTCATGCTAGTTGCTGCAGGAAAGCCTGTGGAGCTCCTCCCACAGGCTCCCCTACCCTGACCTTTCCTCCCGGCCCTCTCCTTCCCCTACTTGGTACCTGCCTTGAAGATTCAGGATGCGTAAATGTGTGGGGATGACAAGGCAGGGTGTGTTTAGTCAGTTCTGCCCAGACCCGGAACCTGTGTAACACACGTATACATATGTGCAGACATACTATTCTCTCTATTTCCATCCCTCTCTTCTTCCCTCCCTTGAAAATTGACTGGGGGGGGGGGCAAGATCTAGAAGAACACCCAGGTTGTTTTTTTTTTCCAGTGTGCAGGTAAATGAACAGCAGTTTTCACAGGCTTGCCCTGTGTGGTCCAGTCATGTGAATTATGAACAGGTCACATAGAAGCTGAAGTCTCAGGGTCAAAGAGGGGTCTGAACTGTTTTTGTGTTCTTCTTACCTCAAGTCACTCACAGCCAGCCAGCCAGTGGTCTCCTGCCCAGGCATGAGCAGGTGCCCAGATCTGGGGCTCTTCTGGCCAGCTGTGCTGTGGTGAGATCATTCGGGACTTGCTGACTCCATGTCTGTGTGACAGCCACTTCGCGCTGATGTACTACCAAAGCAGCTAAATACAGGTGTCATGAAAGAGCAGGGTCGCTTCCCAATAAAACTTTACCAAAACATCCAGGATTGGCCAGGTAGATAAACTGGCCTGTGCTGCAGGAGTCTCCCTCTCTGGAGGGGCTTGGCTGTCACAGTGGTGGAAAGGACATGCCGGTGGGGGTGTTCATGGACCTTCTCTCCAGCTCCCAGCCAGAACTGAAGGGGAACGCAGGAGATGTGACGGACGTAAGGAGTGAAGAGAGAGGAAAAGTGGGGAGCTCGTCCCGCTGTCATGTAACTGGGAATAAACTGGCTGGCATGGAAACCCAGGCATCTGGAACCAGCTGGGCAGCTCTGAGAGTCTCCGTCCCTCTGGAGCCTCATAATAGACAAAACAGTACTGATTGGTGCAAGTCTTTTTTCTCATGTCACTGCATCCCGGCTGCAGTAAACGTGGAAGCTTAGCCGGCAATGCAAAGCCACAAATGCTTCAGGCTGAGTTACAGAGTGGTTTTGTGTGTCCTGGGAGCAAGCTACATTCACAAGAACTCAGCTGCCCTTCTGTTTCTATCTGAACACATTAGGAATGCGACACACAGGGCTGGAGAGATGGCTGAGCCATGAAGAGCACTTGCAGCTCTTGCAGAGGAGCAGAATTCGGTTCCCAGCACCCACGTCAGGTGGCTCACAACTGTCTGTAACCCCAGCTCCAGGGGATCTAATCTCTTCTTCTGGCCTCTATGGGTAGCTGCTTATATACATGCAGACATACGCATGTACACATAAATAAATAAATCTTTAAAAATGAAACATGAAATAGACAGTGACCCAGCTGGTCAGGGCTGCCTGGTCTCTACCAGACATTATGGGGTGATGGTTTCGGAGAAACTGAGGCTCTTTGGTGATTTCGGTTGTATCTCAAGCTTCCCTCTAGGATACATAAGAGTCATATAGCTCACCCTGGCTTTGCACCTCTGATCCTTGTGCCTGTGTGTCCTGAGTGCTGGGGTTACAGTCATGGACCACCACATCTGGTTTATGCAGTGCTGGGAATGGAGCCCAGGGCTTTGCATATGGTAGGCAGTCACTCTTCCAGGTGAGCTGAGTCCCGAGCCCCAACAAAGGCTGATGTCCAGCAGCCCTTCTTGAACCTGTTTACAAGCTTCATCCATGCAGCCTATTTTCACAGTATACCTGCAGTGTAGACCAAGTTCAAGGTCAAGCTTCTAGGGTCCTTGCCAAGAGTTCTCACTGTCAACAGAATGATGACATTTACTATTACTGATATGTTTAAATCATAATTGTTGCCTTGATTCTGTCTTATTATATGTGATGATACTGTGTTGTGATTGATACTGTTGACCACACAGACATAATACTTATTGCCATGGTGACTGATGATGGGAACAGCTTTATCTGCTACATCTCATTGCAGGCCCATCTCTACTGTTTGGAAAGCCTGTGACTGCTAAGCTGTTGGTGGCCCCTCTGCTCAGGTGTGTGGCACCTGTGGTCGGGCCCAGTGCACCTTCAGTACCTCACCCAGTTGTGATTTTTTGTTTTGTTGTTGTTGTTTTTCAAGACAGGGTTTTTCTGTGCAGCCCTGGCTGTCCTGGAACTCACTCTGTAGTCCAGGCTGGCCTCGAACTCAGAGATCCGCCTGCCTCTGCCTCCTGACTGCTGACTACCAGGATTAAAGGCATACGCCACTACTGCCTGGCTTGTTTTTTTTTTCCTTGCATGTGTGTGTGTGTAGGCCTGAGTCTGGCATCAGTGTCTTCCACGGTGGTTCTCCACTTTCCTTTACTGAGGAGGGAGCTCCTGTCATGATGGGGTGTCTCCTGGAGGCTTGGTCATTGTTTCCTCCTTTGTGCCTCCATTTCCCCACCTTGCACAGCGACAGGGTTGTGCTTGAAGACAGGGGTGCCTCTCTGACCTGCATGTCTGTGATTGTGACTGTGTCCCAGCCGTTGTTACCTGCGGGGAGAAGAAGCACCTCCTTCAATTTGTTTTAAGATTTCTTTTAACCTTCAAGGGGCATCTGGAGCTGTTTTCATCTCCTCCCGACGGAGACAGATTTCCAGGGCGAGGCGAGGCTTCTAATTATGAGCTTTGGTTGTTCAAAAGCAAAACAAACCCTCACCCCAAACAAGCAGGCGCTCTCGCTTTTCGGGAGGAAAATGACACATATGCATATTCATTTATATGGTAATTATTATTATTTAGCTACACAGGGACTAGAACTGATCATTTAGAGCACAAAAATATTGCAGGGAATAGTGTTC